CACACACACACACACACACACACACACACACACACACACACACATACACAGCCCAGAGACACACAATGCGTATGACACAGGGACATTCACACATAATACAGAGACACATGCAGACATACCCAGGCATGGATACAAGCTGGACAAGCGTGCCTGTATGTCCACACCCAAGCAAACACACAGAAACCCCAACTGTTCACACTTACACAAAAAGCACACAACTCAGCACCCCCACACACACACAATTAGCTGCAATGAAGAGCTGTCTCAAGGCCCAGAGCTCGGGCTCCTCCAAACCACTTCCCAATGGCACATACCAGTGGTTGGGCCCCAGAACACTCTTCCCCACTGCTGAACTCCCTCCCGTTTTCATTTTGATTTTCTCTTAAGACTCCCACAAGCTGTTTTCTTTATTCCTGTGAACCTGGCACATGTCTGAACGGCTCTGTGGTGAGCCGGAATCTTTTTTTTTCTTCCCTCCTAACCCTGTCCTCCTTGTTAGGAGGCCCTGTGACCCGGCCCCTAGGAAAACCAGGGAGTCCCCATTGGCGAGGCTATTCAGGGACACACAAGGGATGCTTCTCTCCACCTGGGGTGGCTGGAATGTGGCCCAACCGAGGGGCAAGGGGCCAGAAATGAGGACCTCTAGAAGTCCCCTCCAGTCCAAGGGGAATTCTTATGATTCCTAAAACTCTACTTTAAACATGCCTTTCCCAGCTGCAAAACCTTTGTAGACCAGCCAAGCCAACCTCTTTGCTGTCCCCCTACAAACGACATTCCATCCCCAACCCATATGCCTCTGCACAAGCCATGCCTGGAATGCTCTCCGTCCTCCTCTCTTTGCTCGCTTCATGGCTCACCTCATATACACAGCCTTAGCTGTGCTTTTTTTCCCCAGGTAGGAGCTGTTTTGTTTCGTCTTTGTATTCTCAGTAGCCAGCATGGTGCCTGGCCCATAGTAGGTGCTTTACAAAGGCTAACAGAATCAAACTGAATGGAACATGCCCTGCAAGTGGTGACCCAGATTCTGCAGTCCATTCGACACTGGGATAGCTTCCTTGGCTCTCCAACCTTCATCACTTCCTGCCCAAACTTCTCAGCCTAGTTTTGACAAGACCTGCTTCATCTGACCCACACCCTGCCCACATGCCTAATCTTATTTCCCCTTTTCCCCGAACACATCCCTTCTCCTGTTCCAGCCAGAGGGCTCTCCTTATTCCACATAGCCTCACATTCATGCCCACCTCAGCATCTTTGCTCAAACTGAGTCCCCCATCTGCCGTGCCCTCTCCTTTCCTCTCTGCCTGTCCAAATCCTACCCGTTCTTCCAGGTCCAGATCTTGTCCCCGCTTTCCCCAGAAAGGCTTTCCTGGCAACTCCAGCCTACCACAGTAAGATCTGTACTCTTCAGCTTAGTACTACAGAATCACCAAATGTCAGAATTGTAAGGTCTTCAGAGACCATCAAACTCAATCTGTCTTTGACCAAGAATCTCATCTATAATATCCCCAACCAGTGGTCATCTAGCCTTTGTTTGTAAGCCATTTGGTATTGTCAAGTGTGCATGTGTTTGTAGCCACGTATGTGTTTTTCATCCTAAGCTAGGCTTTGAGCTCCCAAAGGGATGGAGGAGCCATGCTTCTGTATGAAGAGACAGCATAGTATGGTGGAACCAGGAAGACCTGGATTCACATCAATCGATCAGCAAACATTTACAAAGTATCTACAGCATGCCAAATACTGTGTTAGATGCTGGGGATACAAAGACAAAAGTGAAACAGGTGCTGCCCTCAAGGAGTTTCCATTCTACTTGAGCAAATGTGACCTTTATGTGTATGTATGTGTACATATATATATATATATATATATATATATATATATATGAATACAAGGTGGTTTGGGGATGGAAGGAGATGGGCAGCTGGACAGGGAAGGGGGATCTGGGAACACCATGCAGGAGGTGGCAGTTGAGCTGAGTTTTTAAGGAAACTAGGGCTATCTAGAGATGGACATGAGGAGAAAGTGCATTTCAGGCATAAAGAACTGCCTAAGGAGGTGGGAGAGACAGCTTTGCTCTGTTAGGACCATAGATTTAGGAAGAGACCTCAGAGGCCATTGTGTCTAACCTCCTCATTTTACATATGAGGAAACTGAGATCCAGAGAGGCCAAAGTCGGATTTGAACCCAGGCACTCTGGCTCTAAAGCCAGTGCTCTTTCCACTGTACCACACTTCCTGCCTAGGTGACTTCTGACATTTAGTACCAATGTCACCATGAGCAAAGCATTTAATCTCTCTTGGACTTAATTTCCTCATCTGTAAAATGGGTATATGACACATGTGGTACCTACCTCACAGGGTTGTGGAGGGTCCAGTGAAGAAATTATGTAAAGTATTCTGTAATCTTTAAAAGGCATTATATAAATATCGCTTGTCAAGATGCAGAATGAGATACATTTTTGGAACAGACAATGTGAGAATTGGTTTTGCTTCACGATGCATATTTTTAACAAGGGATTTGTTTTTTTTTCTCTTTTTTCTTTTAAATTGAAGGTGGGTGGGAAAGAAAGGAAATAAATGCCTATTAATTTAAAAATAAAATAAAATGAAAAATAAATGAGCATCCCTTGTCAGCACCTGGCACAGTGCCTGACTCACAGTAGGTGATTAATAAACACTTGAATTGAATTGAGTAGACATTAAAAAATACTTATAAAATTCAATTATCCCAGGAAGCTTCCAGCTCTAAAAATTCTATAGTTCAGAGATAGAGCACTCACCAATCCATGACCCGAATCTTCATCTTGTCACACATTGAGGGAAACTGAGGAAAGAGGAGAGAAGCATTGAGCGATCGGGTTCTCCTGGAAAAGGAACTCCTAGCAGCCCTGTGGAGCACCCTGGGAGCCCTTGGTCAAGGGAAGGGGCTGGTTAGCTCAGACAGTCAGCCAGTGACCTTGACCTCCTGGGCTAATCTAGCCAAACGGGGTGAGAGCAGTGGGTTGGCCAAGGGATTCAGGCAGAGAGAGAGAAGGTGAAGGTAGGGCCAGGTGGGACCAGAATTCTCTACCACTAAGCCTACCTGGGGACTGAGGAGAGTAGGAAAACAGAAGACATCCCCCCAGCCCACAGTCCAGCCCTTCCTCAAGTCCCCTCACCATGGCTGGCAGTGTGATAGTTTGGTTCCATTGAGGATTGGCTGTCTTCTCCAAAATCTTACTGCAGAGCTAGAAAAATAAAATGCAAAGGAATAGTCAGGGTATTGGAATCAATAAGACTTTGAGCTGAACAGAGCCTCGGAATCTTGTCTACAGCAACACCACCTGGCTGCCCTGACTGCCCTGCAAGCCTCCAAATCCCCGCTAAAATCCCATTTTCTCCGAGGTGTTCCCAGTTCCTCTTAATTCTAGAGCCTTCCCTCCCTTGATTATCTCCTAATTATCCTGCCTAAACTTGTTTGTAAATAGTCGTTTGCAAGTTTTCTCCCTCATTAGACTGAACTCCCCGAGGGCAGGGACTGGTTTTTGCCTTTCTCTGTATCCCTAGTGCCTGCTTGGCATCACTCAGGAAAGAAAGTGTGCGAGCAAGACTTTGAACCAGTCTTTTGACTCCAAAGCCAGAACTCTCGAGGATGGTCATGCATCTGGCCTCAGGACCTTGGAAAACAGCATTTGGGTCCTGCCCTTTCCCTCCCTCAACACCAGCCCTAGCGTGTAGTGGTTTCTCTGGACCCTTCTAAGTGGTCTGCAGGCCTCCAACTGACTGAAATCCTTCCCCAGTCACAAGACTGACACTGGGCCGGACCCCATCCCAGAATCACTGAATGCTGGGACCTCAGAGGCTGGACCTTAGTAAGAGTCTCCAGCTCCCAGCCTCCACACGAAGATCTCCAGAGCAAGAGAAACCACCACCTCCTGCCCGGACCACTCCACCATGGGCAGCTCTACTGGTTGGCATGATTTTACTGACCTCTAGCCTGCACCTGCCTGTCCCCAATGTCCATCCTCTGCCCTCGCCCCAGGACCAAGCAGAACAGGGCCAGACTCTTCCACAACTGCCCTTTATCCAAAGTCCTTCTGCCGCCCCCACCCCAAGTCTCCTCCAGGACAGCATGACCATCCCCTCCCACATTCTGGGCACTAAACCTTGCCCAGGCCTCCCCTACGCCCTGAATCACACTGGCCGACTCTCCTCTTGCCCCACCCACCTCCACCTGGATGACAAGGTTCCATGGTCTCTGGAGGTAGAGTGGGTGGGTGTCCTGACTCTAGGAAACTAAGCGGCACTGTGGACAGAGCTTTGGACTTGGACTTAAGAAGACTTGGGTTCAAATCGTGCCTCAGTCAGTCTCATAATACTTGTTTGCCTCAGTTTCCTTATCTGTAAAATGGGGAAAATCATGGTATCTCCTTCCCAGGGTTGTTGTGAGGACCAAATGAGATAATATTTGTAAAGCACTTGGCAAACCTTAAGTCACTCAAGAAATGCTATTGTAAAGTGTTCGTGACACCATATCAGGGCTCCCGGGGGGCTGGCCCATCCAGGGGCACAGAAGCTCCATCCCTGGTTCTGTGGGACAAAGGCTTCATAAGGAGAGGCTTGGAGGGACCCTGGGGTACTGTTCTCTCATAAGCCGGAGCAGAGGACTTGTCTCTCCACACGATTTCCAGCCTCCCTGGGTAGGGAACAAGAATCTATGACGGCCCCTGCTTGTGCGGACGAGGGGGACAAGGGCCAGCCCGGTACAGCAAACGGCCCCATCCCCTGCCCACAAGGAGAACGGTGGGGGACTGCAGAGGGGCTGACGGCTCCGCCCTCCCCTTCAAGCGCACGTCCTGAACAGCCCCTCTCCTTTGGGGGTCTCTTTACAAGCTTCTGCGGCCACCCCAGCGGAGCAGCACCAGGCGGGGTGCACACAGCTCTCTTGGGCTGGCCTGGGCTGTCTCCGCAGCCTCCAGGTCTCGCCTTCGCCCGGGCTGTTCCTTAGACAGCAGCACCGCGGTGTGTGCAGATGGGGAACTGCTGAGGATGAGGCCCGGGACCGGGCGGGGCGGGGCGGGGCTGAGCATCCTTTGGGGCTCCACGCAGGAGCTATGAAAGCCAGAAAGTGGGGCAGGGGCGTGGGGGGGGGGTTGGCCTCAGCCCCATCCAAACACAGACAGACAGGCAGGCAGCAGCTCTGAGCAAAGCACACACATCACATACCCCCAGCACAGACACACGCTGATACACACACCTCATACAGCGACCATGAGCGCTTAGTACCAGACATCACACATGCAAACATATGTTCCATGTAGACACACACAGAGCGACAGGCGCGGGCCATGATTTTCCATCACACACACACACACACACACACACACACACACACACACAACACTACAGATCGAAGGACGTGCATATCTCCACAAAGAGGGACGAAGGAAAGCAGGGACAGAGACAGGACAGGCGTATGGGGGGAAGGGGTGGGGGGGCTCTGCAGGTCAGCAGCTTTGGAGTCAAGCGTGGGGCCAAAGCCCCTCCCGCGAGCTACCCAAAGGCTCACAAATTGGGGAGCAGTCGATGCGAGGAGAAGGCAGGGCCTGCAGAGACGGGGTGGGGAGCCCCGGGGGCAGAGGAAGGGGGAACGGGATGGAGTTTCAGCAGGGGAAGTCCTGGCTGCCCGCCCCCCTCCTTCCTCTGGAGGGACGGAAAACCTGGCCCCCGGCTCCCGGCTCCCCGCAGGTGAGCTTCCTGCAATAACATCTTGGCGGCCCCAGCGTCTGCAAAAAGCCACATCACACAGGCGGCCGCTGCCCCCTTGCACGCGCCTTGGCCCCTGCCTTCCTCCCCAGACATGAGCATGGCAGGCAAAAATCTGTGGGGCGGGGGGAGGCCACATGGGAGGGAGCTGGAAGGAACCTGCGTGCAGAGCATTCCTGACACAGGTGAGGCTGCCAAGGCCAGAGAGGGGGGCCGAGCCGCCAAGCGCCACACAGGCGGTCAGCCCCTCCCTCCAAAGTTCTTCCTCCCACGCATCTCCCACCTATGAGCAGCTGCATGGTTTGGGGGGTGTTAGGCTTGGGGTCAGCTTGCTGTGCTAGACCCAGGAAGACCTGGGTTTGCATCCCACCTCCCGCCAGCTTTGTGTCTACCGCAGATCATTTCTGAGGCTCAGTTTCCTCATTTAGAAAATGGGGAGAATAAGACCCCACCAGGGTTATTGTGAGCCACAGGTGAGGTCATCTATATAAAATTCTGCAACCTCAGAAGTGCTAGATTCACATCAATAAAGATTATTAGAGTTGTAAAAATGAGGAGTGGAAACTCCGGTGTGGGTTGCAGAGGCAGTTTAAACATTGCCTAGGCCCCAGGGAGGCAGTCAATGGAGAGGGAATAGGATCAGGGCCTAGAAATGAAGTTTGTGACTACCAGGGACTTGCTGGGTGACCTTGGCGGGGGCAGCCTGCTGTAACAGAGTGCTGGCTTGGGAACTGGGGGACCTGGGTTCAAATCCTGCCTCTGACACTTCCTACCAGCATGACCTTGGACAAGTCACTCACCTCTCCTAGCCCCAGCCACCTCAGTCAGGCTATTATAGATCTTTACCAAGAGCCCATATATTGACCAGAGCCTCAGTTTCCTTCCCTGGAAAATGAAGCCTCTGAGTTTCCTTCTAGATCTATGAGTTCATGACTTAATCACTTTGGCCTCAGTTTCTCCATATGCCCAATGAGACTGGTACTTCCTACTCAGAGAAGCAGGAAGAAAAATGGCAAAGTTGGAAAAATCTTTATCTACAATAATACTTTCTCCAACCCGGCCTCCAGAGAGCTGCGGCATCGACATTCTCAGAGTGCAGATCTGACTGCGTCACTCCCCTCCTCAGAAAGATCCAGAGGCTCCCTAGTGCCTCTAGAATAAAACAGCCCATCCTCTGGTGCTAAAATCTTCACAATCCAGCCCCAGTGTCAATTCCTGGACTTAGTTCATGTAAAACACACACACACACACACACACACACACACACACACAGAGTCCACATCCCAGCCAGACTAGCCTCCCTGCTTTTGCTGTCCCTAAATTAAACCATTACCACCAATCAGTCAACATTTATAGAGCACTTTAAAGTATGCAAAGCTATCACCAGGTTACTTGCCTTGATTCTCACAACAACCCTGTGAGGTAGATGTTATCATCCCTATTTGAGAGATGAGAGGTTAATGACTTGTCCAGGGTCACAGAGCTAAGAAGTACTCAAGGCAGGATTTGAACTCTGGTCTTCCTGACTCCCAGCCCTTTACTCAGTAGATGATCCAGGGAACCACCTAGCTACCTCCCATCTCCCACTTCTCTACCTTTGTCCAGGCTGTCCCCAATCATGACCATCTCTTTGAATGTCAGTCAACCTCTGTTCAGCGCTCAGCTTGGGTGCCACCTCTAAGAGGGTTTTCCTAATCTGAATCCCTCACCCACCCTCTGTGCCAGCACTCTCCCCTCCCCTATCCAAAAAAAGAGACTTCATATAGATTTTGTACATATGTTGTATTTACTTGTGTATATACATGTTATCCCCCTCACCTGCCTTCCCTCAATGGTAGGTGAACTCCCTGAGGACCAGAAACGTCCTACTCCTGTCTGTGTACTCCCTATACTTAGCTCAGTGTCTGGTACCTAATGGACTCCTGATAAATGGTGTGTGTGTGTGTGTGTGTGTGTGTGTGTGTGTGTATGTGTGTGTGTATCTGTCTCCTCTCTCTTTCTCTCTCTCTTTCCTTTCTCTCTCTCTCCCTCCCTCCTCTCTCTCTCTCTCTCTTTCTCTTTCTCCCCCCATTCCTCTCCTCTCCTCTTCTCTCTGTCTCTCTGTCTCTCTCTCTCCTCTCTGTCTCTCTCTCTCTGTCTCTCTCTATCTGTCTCTCTGTCTCTTTCTCTCCTCTCTGTGTCTCTCTCTCCTCTCTGTCTCTATCTCTCTCTCCTCTCTGTCCCTGTCTCTGTCTCTCTGTCTCTGTCTCTGTCTCTGTCTCTCTGTCTCTGTCTCTGTCTGTCTGTGTCTCTCTCCTTCCTTCCCCCCCCCCCCACCAACATCCCACAGAGTCTGGCCAGACACAGGTCGTAACTGGCACTTGTGCCACCTCCAAGAGGTGCTTCCTTACCATCCTTCCTGCAAAGCTGACTTCCACAAAGGGGTCAACCAGATTCTTCTTGTTGCTTTCAAACCCAAATATCTGCTTCACGTTGTCCATCACAGCATCATCCACTGGATGGGAAAGAGAAGGCTGGCATCAGTCCTTCTGTCCATTCTCTAAACCCACCAGCCTGTAAAGCTCCTCCTCCTTGACCCTCCCCCACCCCACCCCACCCCCACCCCCAGGGCCTCACTCATTAGACCCAAGAAATGGAAGTCCTCTTCATTGTCTTCCTAATTATCATCACGGTTATCATGCCATGCCATCACTCCATGGCAGGGGGAAAAGATACGCAAATATGCACACAGGCCCCACACTTGGGGCTCCATTTTGACATGGATGAAAAAATGAATGGGTGGATGAATGAATGGAAGAATGAATGGATGGACATACAAATGAACAGATGAATGGATGGATGAATGAATGAATAAAAGAAAGAATGAGTGGATAAATGGACAGATGGATGGATGAAAGAAAGAACGAATTAAAGGCTAAGCAATCACTATGTGGCAGAGAGGCAGTGTGGGGCTGTGGATGGTTAGCCAGGAAGACCTGAGTTTAAGAACTGCCTCGCACATGCTGGTTATGTGACCCTGGACCAGTCACAGCCCCTCAGGGCTCTAGGCAGCTCCCTAAGCTGCAGAGAAGGTGCTGACCTGCACAGGTAAAGGAAGGATTCTCCGCTGGGAGTTCCCTACTCCAATGACCCACAGGTCCAGTCACCATCCCTATCCTAAGATGGGCTGGAGGTAAAGCGAGGCGGGGCTGGGGTCACTCCAGACACTTGCCAGTGAGGGAGCATGTAGGTGCTCACACCCCTGTAGAAGAATCTGGCTCATTCCTCGCTCCTCCCCACCCCAGCACCCCAGGCGCAGGTTCAGGCTTTTTGATCGTGGCGGCAGCAGCGGCTTCTGAACCGTAAAGGAAGAAGCCACATCCTGCCCGGCCTGTTCTAGTTGTAAGCAGGTTGGGTCGGCTCCTGGTGGGGTGATCATGTGTCCCCAGGGACAGCACATTCCCCTGAAAACTTGGGAGCTGCCTTTATCGCAAGGCTGATGTGGCACCCCTTCCTGTCTGCCAGTGCCTCGGCAGTGACCCCTTGGGTCTACATGGGCACCGGACCCCCCAAACCATCCAGGCATCCTGCCCGTGTGATACCTAACAATAACAACAGAACTGGACCTGTCATTTCCTCATCAGAGGGAACTCCCAGATGAAGAAACTTCCTCCGCCAAGGCAGATCACCACCTTCTCTGCAGCTCAGAGTCTTAGAGGCTAGACCACAGCATGTGGAGATTAAGTGACTTGCCCAGGGTCTCACAGCCAACAGATATTGGAGGCAGTGTTAGAGCCCTGGTCTTTCGGGGGGCGGAGCCAAGATGGCGGAGGGAAAGCAGTGACTGTATTGAGCTCTCTCCCAAAGCCCTCCAAATACCTATAAAAATGACTCTAAACAAATTCTAAAGCAGCAGAACCCACAAAAAAGATAGAGTGAAACAAATTTCCTGCCAAAGACAGCCTGGATGATTGATTGGAAAGGTATATCGCACCGGGAGGGGAGAAGAGCACAGTGCGGCGTGGGTGCGCAGGCCGCAGCGACCCTGGAGCAGGCCTCAGAGGACTGAATCGCAGGCAGCTGTGGTGGTTTCCAGACTTCTCAACCCCTCAATGCCAAAGACAACTTAGAGGTCAGTGGGCGAAGTCTGTGACTGCGGTGAGAGAGGAGCTAGGTTTCAGCCGCAAGTCTCGAGTGCGGCCCAGGGCTGCAGCTTTTTCCTGAGCTTCTGGCCCACAGACTGAGGGGGAATCGAGTGGCTGATCAGAGGGGGATTGCAGGGATCTCTTTGCCAGTGCTGAGGCAGGAATCTCTTGCTTTGCCCGTGCTTGGATCTGGGTCACAGTTCTGAGGGGTGGTCCTGGGGCAAGGAAGAGAGCTGGTGCAGTAGAGCTTGTTGTGGTGGTGGAGAGGAAACACCATGCCCCTTATCATACCACCTTGGAAGAACTGAAAATTTACAGGTCCCTAGAAGTACCTCTGAAAACAGCTGTACAAACCCCTGAAGCTTGGGACTGTACATTCTCCACATTGGAAGCAGACTTTTACCTTAACAAAGAGTTTAAAACTCAAGTAATTGGCCAGGATCATGAGTAAGCAGAGCAAAAAGAGTCAGACTATATCATCTTACTTTGGTGACAAAGAAGATCAAAACATACAACCAAAAGAAGATAACAAAGCCAAAGCTCCTACATCCAAAGCCTCCAAGAAAAATATGAATCAGTCCCAGGCCTTGGAAGAGCTCAAAAAGGATTCTGAGAAACAAGTAAGAGAAGTAGAGGAAAAACTGCGAGTGATGCAAGAAAATCATGAAAAACAAGTCAACAGCTTGCTAAAGGAGACCCAAAAAAATACTGAAGAAAATAACACCTTAAAAAAATAGCCTAACCCAAACGGCAAAAGAAGTTCAAAAAGCCAATGAGGAGAAGAATGCCCTAAAAAGCAAAATTGGCCAAATGGAAAAGGAAGTCCAAAAGCTTACTGAAGAAAATACTTCCTTCAAAATTAGAATAGAGCAATTGGAAACTAGTGACTTTATGAGAAATCAAGACACTGTAAAACAAATCCAAAAGGATGAAAAATTAGAAAACAATGTGAAATATCTCATTGGAAAAACAACTGACCTGGAAATAGATCCAGGAGAGAGAATTTAAAAATTATTGGACTATCTGAAAGCCATGATCAAAAAAAGAGCCTAGACATCATCTTTCAAGAAATAATCAAGGAAAACTGTCCTGATATTTTAGAACCAGAGGGCAAAATAGCAATTGAAAGAATCCACCAATCTCCTCCTGAAAGAGATCCCCAAAGGAAAACTCCTAGGAATGTTGTAGCCAAATTCCAGAGTTCCCAGGTCAAGGAGAAAATATTACAAGCAGCCAGAAAGAAACAATTCAAGTATTGTGGAAACACAATCAGGATAACACAATATTTAGCTGCTTCTACATTAAGGGACTGCAGGGCGTGGAATATAATATTCTGGAGAGCAAAGGAGATAGGATTACAACCAAGAATCACCTACCCAGCAAAATTGAGTATAATCCTGCAGGGGAAAAAATGGTCCTTCAGTGAAATAGAGGACTTTCAAGCATGCCTGATGAAAAGATCAGAGTTGAATAGGAAATTTGATTTTCAAATACAAGACTCGAGTGGAACATAAAGAGATAAACGGGAAAGAGAAAATCATAAGAGACTTATTAAGGTTGAACTGTTTACATTCCTGCATGGAAAGATGATATTTGTAACTCATGAGACCTTTGTCAGTATTAGGGTAGTTGGAGGGGAAAAAAAATTATACGTACGTATATATATAGATATAGATAGATAGATAGATGGATAGATAGATAGATAGATAGAAAGATAGATAGATAGATAGAGGGCACAGGGTGAGTTGAAAATGAAGGGGTCCTATCTGGAGAATAAATTTAAGGGGTGAGAGAGGAATATACTAGGAGAAGGAGAAAGGGAGAAGTAGAATGGGGTAAATTATACCACAAAAAAAAAAACAGAAAAGAAAAGGCTCTTACAGTGGAGGAGAAACGGGGGAAGGTGAGAGGGAATGAGTGAATTTTATTCTCATAGGATTTGACTTAAGGAGGGAATAACATACACACTCAATTGAGTATGGAAATCTGTCTTACCCTACAGGAAAATAGGGGAGGAAAGGGACAAGAGAGTAGGGGAATGATAGAGAGGAAAGCAGATTGGGAAAGGGAGTAATCAGAAGCAAATACTTCTGAGAAGGGACAGGGTCAAAAGAAAGAATAAAATAAATGGGTGGGCAGGATAGGATTAAGCGAAATAGAGTTAGTTTTTCACAGCATGTCTACTATGGAAGTGTTTTGCATAACTGCACATATATAACCTGTATTTAGTTGCTTGCCTTATCAATGAGGGTGGGTGGGGAAGGAGGAAGGGAGAAAATTTGGAACCCAAAGTTTTAAAAACACATGTTTAAAAAAATGTTTTCACATGCAACTGGGAAATAAGAAATACAGGAAATGGGGTACAGAAATCCATCCTGCCCTACAGGAAAATAGAAGGGGAAGGGGACAAGAGAAGGGGGGTAGAGATAGAAGGGAAGGCAGACTAGGGGAAGGGGTATTTAGAATGCATGCCATCTTGGGGTGGGGGGAGGGGTGAGATGGGGTGAAAATTTGGAACTCAAAATCTTGTGGAAGTAAATGTTGAAAACAAACAAAAAAATTACCATAAAAAAAATACATGCTAGGTGACTGATATAGGTATCTTGTCAAACAGCTCCTACTGGCTTTTAGATAAGGATGTTTTTGCCTTTCCTTTTATTCTCACTCTGTCCAATAAAATATAAATACAAAAAAAAAAAGAACCCTGGTCTTTCTAATTTTGAGACAGAAATGCAAACACATTTTCATTTACTAATGACCACAATCCAGGCATAAATCCTCTCTTAAACAATGAGCTTTATGAACAGAAGTGGACAAATTCTCTGTGAAGGAATCCAGCCAACCCCAGAGGACCCAAACAGCCAGGCTGCTTCCCCAGATACTGGCTACAATCTCACAGGTACCGTGTAAGAGACAGACGCAGCTCACCCTGCCCCGTCTTCAAAGAGCCATTGACATGAGCGGCTTGTCTTCTGCAGCCCTAGCCCAACTCAGCCGCCCCCTCTCATTGGCCCATCTTCTAAACTCCCAAAAGGCTCCCCGACTCACTCTGGGGCAGATCTTCAGCCCGGAAGACCTTCAGACAAAAATGAGCCCCACGCAGGGCCAAGCCAGTGGGACGGAGGAGATTTCCCTCGACGTCCTCCTTGTCTTCCATGGGCTCTTTCTTTTCTATCTGGGAAGCCAAGCAAACGCCAGACCAGATCCAAATTAACCAAGGGTTAGTTAGGTGGGCTCGCGAGCAGATGCGAGTCTGATGCAGAATGCTGATGGCCGGTTGTTTTTCATTTTGTTTTGTTTTTAAAGGGCTGGAGGGAGACAGAAGACCAAGACTGGGAGTACCAGCCTAGTGGACAAGACAGTTCTATTCTAGTCCTACCACTAACTGGCTGTGAGCCTATGCAAGTCACTCACTCTGGGTCTCCTTCCTGACTCGTCCAACCCAGATGATAATCTCTGCTCACTTCTCAGGGGTTACTGTGAGGATGAAATGATTGGACAGAGGTAAAAGGCCATCCGAGGAGGGCAGAGCCACCTTTAGTCTAAGATGATGATGAATAATAATAATGATAGCTTGCATTTTTAAAGCTCTGTAAGGTTTACAAAGATTAGGTAGATAGATAGACAGATAGATGGGAAGACAAACAGATGATAGACAGAAAGACAGACGACAGAGAGACAGACAGATAGACAGACAGACAGATAGAAAGATAGAGAGAGAGATAGAGAGAAAGAGAGAGAAAGATGGAAAGACAGATGATAGACAGGTAGATAGACAGACAAACAGGATGACAGACAGACAGATCCATAGATATGTAAATAGATAGATGATAGATAGATAAATAGATAGGTAGATAGATAGGCTATAGAAAGGCAGATGACAGACAGGCGATAGAAAGACAGATGACAGACAGAATGAAAGATAGACAGACAGATACATAGAGAGATAGACAGATGACAGATAGACAGATAGATAGACAGACAGGTACATAGAAAGATAGCTAGATAGATATAGATGGATGGATGGAAAGACAGACGATAGAAAGATAGATAAACAGACAGAAAGACAGATGACAGATAGACAGACTGACAGATACATAAATAGATAGATGATAGACAGACTGGCAGACACATAAATAGACAGACAGATGATAGACAGACTGACAGACAGATAGATAGACGATAGACAGAAAGATGACAGATAGACAAAAAGACTGACAGATTGATTGATAGATACATAGATATATAGATAGATGGATAGATAAATAGATAGATGGATAGATAGATAGTGGTTAGGTGACTTGCCAGGGTCACACAGCCAGTAAGCACCGGAGGCTAGATTTGAGCTTAGGGTCTTCCTGACACCCCACCCAGCACTCTATCCCAGGGGCCACCCAGCTGCCTCCTTTGAAAAGGCAAATGAGAGAGTTGGTGGGATTTGTTTCACAGCCACCTAAAAACAACAAGAAACACACACATCCTCTGATGGGGCATGGGTCATCTCAGCTTGCAGGGCTCAGAATGAACATAAGCAGGCAGGCCGTCATAGAGATCAGGTTTGCCAGGTTTGGAGGTGAGGTCCGAAGGAGTTTCCTCCCATGCAGAGTTGTGCTATCTCCCTTGGACATTAGGCTGAATTTTCATTCTATGCTCCCAAGGACTCACTATGTGACCTAGGAGATGTCACTCTCCTCCCAGGGCTCGGTGTCCCCCTCAGTGTGGGGAGCTGCTGCTCCCCAGGTATGGTGCCAGGATACAGGACACAGGATATGATGCCAAGCAGGAAAGCCCTTTTAAAACCACAGGGCCGTGTGTGGCTGTGCGTGCAAGGCCAACATGCCCGAGAAGGCCAGTACTCACAGGGGTTTCATCTCCCGGACCCAGCACAAAAACGCTGACTTTTAAGTAACCTTTGGCCCCAGCTGCGAAGTCATCAGGGTCTGAAAGCAGCAACCACTTCCTGAGATAGGCATGTCCTAGAAGAGAGGGGATACATTAGTGAACACCCTCCCTACCCTCTCCTTAAAATAATGGCTGGGTGCCTGAGAGTCCTGCGCCACTACGCTGCACATAAAGCCCCAAGCCTGGGTGATGTTCAGAGAAGTCTAGGGTTAAGAGGGCCCCAGTGGGTCATGTAAGCCAGACCCCTACTACCAGGCAGGCTCTAGGTTTTGGCAGGCGGCCACAGAAGCTGGAACCTCAGGCCTTCTATCTCTTACTAACCAGCAGATACCTTTGTGAGGTAAAAGGTACTCTCCAAAGTAAAAGTCCCAGACTAGAGAGGCCAATAGAATCAGGAAGGGGACCTCCCACAGGTCATTGAGGGGTGTTTAGAAGATTGGGGGCCCTCCCTGCCCTATGGTAATAGCAACAGGGAGGGTGACCTCAACCTCTCCTAAAGTATACCTAGGGACCCCTATCAGACCTGGGATTCTAGATGGAAAAGGCTGGGATGGAAGGACTCCAGGGGCAGCTGTTTCTATGTGCAGAGGTGTCCGTACTGATTAATCAGTGGAGGGACCCTCTTCCTTATTGGTCTGTAACTCTGAAGCCTAGACAAACGCTTCTCTGCTGAATTTGGAAGCCCACAGAGAAAAGGAGAAAGTGGTCAGTGGAAATCCAAAATGTGGGTCCCAAAGCTTTCCCCAGCACCCCAACTTGGGAAGTAGCCAGAATGGCTCCCTTAACTCACTAGGCTCTGCATAAACTGATCCGATGTCCATCTGGAATTCAAAAGAAAAAAAATGAATGATTAACCTCCCAACCGGGGTCTAGGAGCAAAGGAAGGGCATGCGGGCTCAGAGACGCCAGGGCCAAAAGACGATTAAAATTCCATTTTAAAGAATGGGTGAGGATTAAGTCCATTTTGTAAAACAGAATATTTCAGGGACGTGGAAATTAGTATTTATTGACCCTGAGAATTTTATTGATAGAAATGAAATTATTGGTAATATTTACATAGCACTTCAATGTTTACAAAGAGTATATATACACACACCCATATAACACATACATGTGCAATATAATACATGTATACAACATGCACATTATATATGTATATGTAACATGCATTGTGTTGCACATGTGTTATATACATTGTACATACAATATGTTATATTATGCACATATCATGCATGTAATATATGTATAATATTGTACATATTATACATGTTATGTATATGTACACACACAAATGTTTTTCTTTGTTTGTTTTGGGGAAGGTTGGACCTATGACTTCAGCAGCAGCTGAAACAAAGATGAGCTAGTGGTTAGAATGACCTGAGACCTGAGTTTGAATTCCACCTCAGGCACTTATCAGCTTTGTGACCCCAGGAAAGTTATTTAATTTCTCTGTGCCTCGGTTACCTTATTTGTAAAATGAGGGGTTTAGACTCCATGGCCTTTAAGGGACCTACACCAGCTCTAAATCTATGATTCTATAAACTCCCCCTGCCAATGCAAGCGAGCAACTCATGTGGAGAGTGACTGTGGAGCCCTTAGAGGTTAAGTGACGTGCCCAGGGTCACACAGTCAGTCGGTGTCAGGAAGGTCTGAAGCCAAGATCATTCTTGGACCTCTGGCCACCGTGACCACACATTCTCCCCATTTTATAGACCAGCTAGGGCTGAGAGTGAAATGATTTGCCCATAATGACACAGCTGGTAAACATCTAAGCGGGGATTCACATCCAGGTCTTCCCACCCTCAGTTTTCTCATCTGCAGAATGAGGAGGTAGGATTAAATGACTTCTGAGATCCTTCCCTCTCCAGACCCATGAGCTTATGACTCCACATCCAGTACTCTATTCACAAGGGCAGGAGTCTTCACCTGGGGACTGAGAATTTGCTTTCTTAATGTTTTCATGATTGGATTTCACTAGAAGTAGTTTCCTTCATAATCTTATCAATTTTATTTTATGCATTCAAAAATGCAATTCTGAAGAGGGGTCCACAGGCTTCACCAGACTGTCCCCCAAATGTTTAGAATTGCATTAGGGCATATTGTCTCCCATAAAATAAAAATATATTTTATTTGACTAGTAATGAGAGATGAAAATCTTCCATTTCTTTATTGGTGAATTAGCAGTCATAAAGAGTATTTTTAAATTACCTAACCAGACAAGAGAACAGTGAGCTGGGCTTGCAGTCACAAAGGACCTGAGTTCAAGTCTCACCTCTGATATATATGCATTTTGTGACCTTAGGTAAGTCACTGAACCTCCTTAAGACTATAAATTGCAGAGAAGGTGCCAGGACTCAGTGGGAGCCCTCCCCTCCCAGTGGAGGCATAGAAGAACAAAATCCATCCTTCAAGTCTCCATGATCTAGATTCCCACGCGTGTCTTCCATGACACACTCAATGATCCACATGAGCATTAAGCATGTGGTTTTTTTCTCCAGGGTAGGTTTTCAGCCCCAGCACAGTCCCCCTCCCCTCTCTACTGTTCCTTACCCCTCCCCCCACAAAGCATGCATTTAGACCCCCATGCCAACTCTAACCAGCTCAGGAAAGCCAATTGTGGGACATTCAGTGTGAGTAGCTACACCTCGAAAATCAGCAAATGCTGTTGTTCTGTTGATTGTCTAGACTTAAAAAAGTGAAGAAGAAAATACTAATTATGCAAATTAAATTTAAAGGCGTGTTGTGAGTATTTTTTTCCCTTGGAGATCTGGTTGTTAAGTATTTACCAGCACACCCTTGTGTATATCCTCAGCCTCAGAGAATGGGAGCTCAGGAAATCCAGTTGTGTGTGTATGTGTGTGAATATGCACATGTGTGTACGCACATGTGTATATTACAAAGCCAAAGACAAATGATTTGTGGATTATCCACACACCCCTTGAGGCATAATTGAGAGATGGTGATAAGCAAAGACAATAATTACCCGAAACTCCCCAATAAGAGCATCTGTCCTGAGTGATCGAGAATCAACTACCTGGAAGAAGGGAAAAAAATTAAAACACATAAAAATGGCTGCCAAACCAACTTGTATGTGCGAAGGTGACATTCTGAACCTAAATATAAGACTCCACATTTATCGCTATTACATTTCATCTTACTAGTAGCTCCTTATTCTGAGCTGTTGAGATCTTTTTGGTCCTAAAAGGCTACCTATCCCTCCAAGGTTTATGTCATCTGAAAATCTGATAGCCACCCCCCACCCCCCATGCATGTGCTTTGTCTTAATCCTGAATAAAAATAGTCAGCAGTCTTCAATGTTATTTTATGCATGTTCAGGCATTCCCTCTCTCTCTCTGTCTCTCTCTCTCTGTCTCTCTCTCTCTCTCTGTCTCTCTCTCTCTCTCTCCCCCCACTTACTGTGATACCGATGATTTCATCAAACAGCTCCAATGGAGAATCAAAGACATTGAAGAAAAGGGTCTGTCAAAAACACATTAAGGAAGAACCAGTCATTATTCACAGGTCGGCAATGGCGGAGGAAGGGAGGAGGAGGTGGAGGTTGGGGGCTGGTGAGATACAATACACACAAGATCATTCATACTCTTTGACTCAAGTCTCCTCAATGACTAAAGTTATATCCTAAGGCTCTTAGTAATTTTGGTGCCAAGGGCAAATAACACAAATCAACTTTGTAATTCATGAGATGAAAGTCATTTAAGAATTCAGACAAATTTAGCTGAGCAGGAGGGGAAACTAGTCATTCTACTGGCTTCTGGCTGCAAAAAGAGCAAATATTTAAAATTTTTGCACTCTGTAAATTTCAGCACCCTGCAACAAAGCCTGGATCACCCTACCCTAGTTTCACCTCCACCCTGAAGAGATTATTAAAGGGGAGGAAAGACCGACCTGTACCAAAATATTCATAATGGCTTTCTTTGAAATAGTGAAAAATGGGAAAAGGGGAGACATGCTAACTGACTTCAGGTATTTGAAAGGTTGTCACGCAAAAGAGGAAGGTGGATTGGTCTAATTCTGCTTAGTTACAAAGAGAAGTACTAGGAGCAATGAGCGTAAGTTACAAAGAGGCAGATTTAGATTTAATGTCATTTTTTAAAATTCTTAATCATCAGTGCTGTCCTGAAGTGGGACAAGGGCCACTGTGGGTAGCGGGTTCTCCCTCCATGGAGGTCTTTGGGCAGTGAATGAATGCTCTCTTGTCAGGGATGTTGGAAAAGGAGTTTCTGATCAGTTGTAGGCTGAGGTCCCCACTGCCCCTAAATTTCTAAGATTCTGTGAAACATCCACCCCAAGGAAGAGGAAGCCCTGTTAAAGTTCTCCAACAATGACTGACCATAATGAGGAGGTGACCCCGGGCTGCCAGCCCTGCCCTCAAGGAGCTCACAGTTGCAGTAAGACAAGACTTTAGTGTTTCAGAGCTGTAAGGAACCTTAGAGGACTAGGTCTTAGAGACTACAGGTCTCATCAATCAATCAACAAATCAGGAAGTATTTATTGAACACCTACTATGTGACAGACACTTTGAGAACAAAGAAAAGTATTTCTTAAACACCTACTAAGTGCTGGGCACTTTGAGAACAAAGAAAAAAGGAAACATCCCCTCCCTCAAGGAAACAACATGTATACATATTATTATAGACCAAACAGGTGCTAAATAAATACAAGATAATTTGATAGGACTCTAAGGAGAATGGAGGAGAGGGGAGTAAGTAGTTGACCAGTCTTCTAATAGCCTGTCAGATGCTCCCTCCTTAGCCAGGTCAAGCCACGTCCACTCTTCCATCAAGGAAAAATTCTCTCAAAAATTACAGCAGAATTTCCCTGAAAAAATCCCTTCCTTCTTCCCAGGCTCTGAATCTGAACTCCCTGCTCTGCATCTTCTCCGAGGTGTGTTACGTTGATGTTCTGAGCTATTCTGTAAGGAATTATCCAGGGGAGGAGAGAGCCAACCTTCAGAGCGGAGACCCAGACCACCCTCTTCAAGGCAGTGTCACCCTTTAACTCTACCAGTCTGCGCCCTCCCATGACTCCCCATGGCTCTCTTGGTTCAGGCCTGGGTACAGATTTTTCTTCCTATGAGCTTATCTTGGTAAGACCAAGCCTGGCTTTCCAGAAGAGGCTGTCCTAGCAATTAATGGGGACAGGCCAACCATCCCTCATGGGTTCATGGCTCTGGAGTCGGAAGGCCATTGCATCCAACCACCCCACACATACGCACACATACATACCCATTTTACAGATGAGGAAGCTGAGGCTTAAGAGGTTAAGTGACTTCACACAGCCTGTAAGCTCTAGGTGGGATTTGAACCCAGACCTGCCTTACTCCAAGACCTGCACCCTCTTCTATATTGTGGCACAGAAGGAACCCCAGACTCTCAAAGGTTACGCCAATGAAGTGTGGGCTGTGGTAGGTCTCACAGGCTGGAAGGGCCCTATATAAATGAGCACCTACCATGTGAAGACCAGCCCTCAGGGCTTCCTAGGAGATGGGATAAAGGCAGACTCATCACCAAAGGGTTGGCCACTAGGTGATGGGGCATTTTATTATCTTATTTATTTGTTGGTTTATTATCATTTTGGGTTTAACGCCAAGGCTCAACACTCACAAGAAATGACTCCAGATCTGGAGAGAAAAGTCCCAGAATATCAACTCAAATGGCAACAGTGAACTTTCTCCCACCACCACCACCACGAGAGTTGAGGGAAGGTTCCCACGATGTGTCTCTTACCTCATCAAAGACTGGACTGTTTCCTTTTCGGATTCTCGTCCTCTTGGTCTGACCAGAAGCCATGACCTTGACCACCGGCCGGATGTTCACCCCAGGTAACTGGCGTCCCTCTATCACCTGGACCCTGATCTGCAGGCAGAGATACAGGTCCACAGGGAGGCAGGGAGACATCCCAAGATCCGGGAGGGGAAACAGGAAGGAGGAAAAGATATTTTCTGAGACAGTCAAGGCACATTCAAGAACTAATCCCCCTAAAGGCCAAAGGATGAATGATCCAAAAGGTCATTAAAAGAAGAGTTAGGAATAAAATAATTAACAACACACCCCTTTCTCCAAGGTCACTCATGTTTCTGAAATTCAGTGGTTCTGTATAAGTAAAGAGGCCAGGTTATCTATGACAGGGACCCTATCCTAAAGGAATGGGTAGATGGATGAATATGTAGATAAATTTATCAGGGAGGAGATAATGAGATTTAGATATCTGAACAGATGGAATGGTAGATAGATATGAATGGGCAGAGATAGATAGATACATAGATACATAGATATGGATAGATAAATATAAAGAGATGGATGGTTGTTTTCCTTCGTTATCAAAGAGGACCAAAGTGACATCGCTATGTCGGGGTCAAGTTTCAGTGTGTCCCGCTGTGGCTGATCAGACCAATACGAGCTCGGAATGTTCTACCACAAGTCGGGCACAAATAGTCCATGTGAACATTTGGAATGGATTGATAGACAGACAGATAGAGATGGACGGACATAGACAGATGGATGGACAGAGATATATCAATAGATAGATATAGATAGATGGGTGAAAAGAGAGGTGGATGGGGGCAGCTAGGTGGCACGGTGGACAGAGCACCAGCCCTGAAGTCAGGAGGACCTGAGTTCAAATCCAGCCTCAGACCAAACATTTGACACTTACTAGCTGTGTGACCCTGGGCAAGTCACTTAACCCCAACTGCCTAAGCAAAAAAAAAAAAGAGAGAGAGAGAGAGAGAGAGAGGTGGATGGATAGATGATGATGGATAGATAAAGAGATGAACAGATATTCAGAAAGATATATGAACAGATGGACAGAAGTATGAAGGAAATAGATAAATGGACCTCATAGTTAGAGCTGGAAGAGAATTTAGATGGTAGCTTGTCCACTCCCTACATTTTACAGATGAGAAAACAGCCTGGGGAAGCCAGCATTCTATCTCCTGTCACTGAGCTAGCTGCCTTGTATATACATCACCTCATTAGATCCTGACACTAATGCCCTTTCTACTATCTATCATCTTCTATTTGTCTATCTCTCTTTACATCTGTCAGCATATTTGTCTATCTTTCTATCCACCCATTCACCCATCTATCTATCTATCTACCTATCCATCATCCATCCATCCATCCATCTATCCATCCTGTCTATTTATATATCTTCCATTGAGTGAAAAGATCAAGATTTAGATGGATAGACAGATAGGGATAGATAGACATAGATGGGTGGATGGATGGATGGAAACAATATTCTCCCCAGGAAGTCATCCAATCTCAATTGCAGCCCTCTAGTGATGGGGAGCTCACTACCTCCTGAGGTACCCAGTCCCACATTTGGGCATCTTTACTTCTTCCTGCCCATGCATGTGTCATTCCCCAAGTCTAGAATTCTCTCCCCTCTCACCTCTACCTCTTGGAGCCCCTGGATTCCCTCAGCACTGAGCTCAACAGCTGCCTCCCACAGGACACCTTTCTGATGACTCTCTTGCTAGAATTCACCCCGCCTCCCCAGTGACTTTGTCCATATTTTATACATATTTGCTTCTTGCTCTTTTAGAACAGGGGTTGTTTTCATTTTTGTCTTTTCATGCCCAGTGCTCACCTCAGAGTCTGGCACGTAGTAGGACTATAATAAATGCTAGTTCATTTAAATTGAATTGAATGGATTCGGAATCAGAAAGTCCGAGTTCAAATCCCAGCTCTGCCCCCTACGTGTTCTTGAGCAAATCACGTAACCTCTGCGGACACCTCAGGTTCCTCATCTATAAAGCAAAGGGGCTGATCTCAATGACCTCTGAGGTTCCTCCCAGCTCTAAATCTAGGATTGACCTTCTGGCAACCTGTCACTTAACCTCTCCAAGGCTCAGTTTTCTCATCTGTAAAATGGGATGATAATACCACCTCCTTCCCGGGATTGTTGTAAGGATCCGGTGAGCTAACACATGAAAATAGCTTTGCAGACCTTACTTGAAGAATTAGCTAAATGTTAGCTATTGTGATGGAAAGATAAACCTCAGACTGAAACATTTTGGCTGAGACACAGCAGAACTATGAAGGCGCTCTGTAATTCCATCCTCATAGAGCACTTTGGACCCCATCCCAGAGCCTCAGTTACTGACTAGCCAAAATACTCAATTATTAAGACCTAATGGTCCACGTCATGGACCCAAAAATAGCACTTTTCATGCGGTTTTCCGGCATGCCATACTCTGCAATCTATATGTCTAACTTCTGCAATTTAATAAAGGCCTTTCCTTGTCTCAGGGATGCCTTGTGGTACGTACTGAGCAGGTACTGATTGGCTACGAGAGAAGCAGAAAGACAGAGAGGCGGGCAGACAGACAGACAGACAGACTCCCCCCGTGGTCACCTGGAAGTCCTGAGGCTTGTCCGACAACAGCTTCTTGGAGGTGCCTCTCTTCCTCTTGACCCCTGGATGATGCGGTGCTGGGTGCGGGGAAAGCTTCTTCTGGGCTGCGGGTGCCCCAGGCCTGGGGGAAGCACTCTTGTCCTGAGACGGCTCTGTCTCATCTCCAGTGAGACCCTGGTCTTCTGGGTCTTCCTCTCCCCCTGTGTTTGCCCAGCCGCCAACGGGGAGAGAGGGAGACTGTGAGAGGCGGTCAGCCCTGGCCCCCCATCACGAGTCCTTGAATCCCAAGACCCCCCGGGCACCTCACCCCTGCCACCCCGCATCCCGTAGAAATGAAGTGAGCCGAGAGGGTGATGAGGAAGACAGCAGATACCCTCAGCTGGAACTGCAGAGACGTCAGTTGAGTTAGCAGACAGTTGGAAGAGTGAAGATGGCCCGTGCCCACCCCGCGCTGCCGGATGAAGGTGAGTGAGGAGTTACACGGGGAAGAGAAGGCGGTGGGAGGTGGGGCAGGGCCCCAGCTCCTCTCTCACCCACGGGGGCTGGCCACTTCCTCCCTGAGTATCTGGTGTCGACGGTGCTTTCACTCAGCAGGGACCATGTCTCCTCATGGCTCTGTCCCACACCTAGCACAGGGCAGGGCGCAGACCCCCGGAGAGCAGGTGAAGGCCACGGCCGGCCGAGCCAGCCTTCCCTCCCTTCTCCTTTCCCCGGCCCCCTCCCCGGTCACTTCTCTCCTGCTCTCCTTCCAAATCTGGCGGGCAGTCTGCCGCCTCCAGGAAGCTTCCCTGATTAGCCCCTCCGGGCCTCAGCTTCTTCAAGCGTCAGCTAATAAATGTGAATTCCTCCATAAAACTCCATGAAGTCTTTGGATTCAATTGGTCCACCCACCTAACCAGAAAAATCAATTTCTCCTATCTTTCAAGAGCCCCCCATCTTCCACGGCACCTCCTCTGACTACCCCCCTTTGTCCCAATGCATCTCACCCTTCTCTGAAGTCCTCACTCTGGCATTCAAGACCCTTCACATGAGGCACAAACCCACATTTGCAACTTTATCTCACACCACTCTCCTACACCAGTCACACTAAATGACTCTTTATTCTCAGTCCATGAGTTTGCCACGATGTCCAGCTTCTGTACCTTTGCTTAGGCTGTCCCCCCTGCCTGGAATGCCTTCCCCTCCCACCTTCCCTTAGTAAAGTCGTCTTCTCCCCCCAAACGCTGGTCTAAGAACACTGGCCTCCTTGCTGTACCTTGCATGTTCACTGGCTGTCCCCCACCTACAATTCTCTCCCTCCTCATCTCTGCCTCCCTGGCTTCCTTTGAGGCCCAGAAAGAAGCCTTTTCTTAACCCCCTTCATTCCAGTGCGCTCCCTCTGTGACTGTCTCCAGTTTGTCCTGCATATATCTTGTGTGACCATGACTGGATGCTGTCTTCTCCCATTAGACTGTAAGCTCCCTGAGGGCAAGAGCTGTCTTTTGCCATTCTTGGTGTCCCCAGCACTTAGCAGAGCCCCAGGCACGTGGTGAGTATTTAACAAATGCTTACTTAAGACTGACCCTGCCTGGAGCCAAGCTCAGAGGGCGCCTCCTCTGAGAAGCCTTCCAGGATCCCTCTCCCCAAGTTGAAAATGAGCTCTCCTTCAGACCTCAAGCAGCACTGGCCCGTACCTGTCATCTGAAGCATGTTCTAGTTCTTATGAAGGGCAAAGTGAGTAGGGAGTTGGACTCGGGGCCAGGAAGACTCGGGTTCGGATTCTACCCCATCCACAGGCCGGCTGCGTACCACTCACTTAACCCCTCTGGGCATCAGTCAGCTCTCTAAGGTTGTGAGTGGTAAAGGAGGCACTAGCTGGCATCAGGTTTTGGCATTTGGATTTTGTTTTGGTTTTTGGCAGAGATACTGGAGCAGTTTGCCATTTCCTTCTCCAGCTCATTTTACAGATGAGGAAACTGAGGCAAACAGGGTGAAGAGACTTGCCCAGGGTCACAGTGTCCGAGGCTGGATTTGAACTCAGGTCTTCCTGACTCCGGGCCCCCCACTCTATCCACTGCACCAGCCAGAGGCTCTAACAAAACTGAACACTAAATAATCATAATGACGAAGCATAGCCCTGGAAAAGATATGAGAAAATGAGCCTCCCTCGCTCCCTCCTTTGCTGAGGTGGGGGACTAGGGGTGTGGAATACCACAGATCTGTCAAACTGGTTGGAAGCGGCGGCCCTCTTTGCCCAGCTGCTCTTTTTCTCTTTATTTTGTATTCTTTATTACGAGGGATAACTGGATAGGGAAGGGGCAGAGGGATGTACTGGGAAATGAAGGTATTATTAAAATGAAATTGGCTAGCATTTCTACGATAGCACTCACTATGTACCAGGCGCTGTGCTAAGCACTTTACTAAGATGACCTCATTTGATCTTCACAACCACCCTGGGAGGGAGATGCTGGTATTATCTCCATTTTACAGTTGAGGAAACTGAGGCAGACAGGGGTTAAGTGACTTGCCCAGGGTCACCCAGCTAGTTAGTGTCCTCCTGACTCTGGGCCCAGAGCTCTAGCCACAAAGCCACCAGCAGCATTGGAATAAAAAAGATCTATATTGGCATTCTGCCTCTGACCTAGAGTGACTGAACCTCTCTGCCTCTGTTTCCCCATCTAAAAAATGGGGATGGTAATCGCGCCCACCTCCCAGGGCTGTGGAAGGCGTCCTGCAAGCCTTGAAGGGCAGGTCTCCAGGAGGCGTCTTCCCTCCTGGATCACCAGAGCAGGGCCAGGGGGAAAGACGCTGCGGCTGCAGAACCGACGCTCTGGGCTGCAGACCTAGTCTCACCAGCCACGGGCTGTGTGGCCTTCAGCAGGGCCACGTCCGCCCGGACTCAGCTGGGGAGGGTAATCCGCGCCCGGCTTCCTGAGTTCGAATGCAGTGAATAAGTGACCTCCCAGGTGGAGCTGCTGTTGGGGGGGTGTTGGTTTATTCTCTGTCCAGAGCCCTGATTTCATCAGCTCTGGGACCTTCTGGGTCGGTAAACTCCCTCCACCAATGCAGATCAGCCGCTTTGTCTGGGCTTCTCCGCCTCAGGGAGCTGCCTGGGGGCAGTGAGACTTACTCGGGTTCAGGACTTCTGTCTATCCACTCTACTGCCTCTCCAAATAGCGGCTTTGTGATATAAAATGACCAAGTGGACGTCCAGCCCGTGTCCAGTCACAGGGAGCTCACTATCTCACAGGAGCCTGGCAACCCCACATTCCAAGGATCAGCCCATTTTACAAATGAGGAACTTAGGGCTTAAGAGGCAAGTAACTTGCCCAGGATCACATGGCAATAGAGTAACAAAAGAGGGGGTCCGGACCCAGGTCGTCCTGACGCGCAGCCCAGCATTCCATCCCCGGGCTCAAAACTGCACAAACAGCGGCTCTCATTATCAAAGGAGAGGATGATTGTACGAATGTTCTGCAGACCTTAATGCGTTGTAGGATCGTGACATGATGATATTCAACCTGGGTGACAAGCCGCTGCGTGGCCAGGCAGGTAACAGATGCTTGCGAGCTGACCCACTAAACGATTTACAACGGGCTGGTCACTTAGAAGAAAGGCAGTCTGGCCTAGTGGTTAGAGAGCTGGGCCTGGAGTCAGGCAGCCCTGGGTTCAAATCCTTCCTCTGACCCTACAGGCTAGGCCATCTGAGGCAAGAAAAACCTCTCAGGGCCCCCGGCTGGCTCTCTGAGACATAAATGATGCCCATCTGCCAATCTGCCCATCAGTGGGAGGAATTTCCATCCCAGGAGTTTCTCCTGATCTAATGAAATTGTAAGTCTTGAACAATAATTGATCTGTGCTCCCATTCGCCATCACCCCCAAATCCATTCAATCCATTGTGGGGGACAGCCACTGAAGCATTTTTCCAGGTGTTTCGGCCAGCAGGGGACATGACTGGCCATGCTTTGTCCCCGGCCCGGAGTTGGGGGGACCCTGCTCAGGGACACCCAGGAAGCCTGGGGGGTCACTAGATTACTAAGCAGGCAGACGAGGGTGGTCCTTACCAGCCCCGGAGTCCATCTCAGTCAGGGTAGGTGAGGTGTCCCGCGGTGGAGGGGACGGGAACAGGGGTGCAGCTCCGGGAGGAGGGATGTAAGATGCCTGCAGCACCAGAGTTGCCTGGAAGAGAGAGGACGAGGATCAGGGTCGCCAGGGGCACCACCCCCAGCCCCCCGGCCGAGATAGAGGCTGCGATGAGGTCTGAGGGACAATGAGGGGAGGCAAAGCCATCCCCACAGGGCACGTCAGGCCCCAGCCCCGCCCTGGCTCCCCGAGGAAGAGGAGGCATCATGGATTGTGGCTCCAGTGAGGGGAGGGATCTCAGAGATCATCTAGTGCAACCCCATCATTCTACAGCTGAGGACACTGAGACCAAGCAGGTTAAGTGACTTGCCCAAGGTCATGAAGTTAAGTGTCCAAAGCAGAATTTGAATCCAAGTCCTCAAAACCAATACCATTGTCCCACGGTACCCCCTCTTCAAACCCCTTGTGACTCTGTTTCCCTCCTAGCCTGGGCCTCCTTTCACTTCCCATAGTTACTCTTTGATGGGGGAAATAGGAGAGCATAGAATTCAATCTTTTTCCAATCACAGAGCTCTGCACACACTAAGTGCTTAATAAATGATTGTTGAAACTAGTTCAATTCAAATGAAAGAAACTGATTTTAATCCATTAATAGCTCGTATTAATACGATGTTTAAAGGTTTGCAAAGCTCCTTAGAGACATTAGGACATTTGGTCTTCACAACAACCTTATCAACAAGCATTCATTAAACACCCACTGTATGCCAGCTACTATACTAGGTTCCAAGGTCAGTTGAATTCTATCCAATGAGTATTGATTAAGCGCCCACTGTGGGCCAGCCATTTACTAGGTACCATGGTTACAAATTCAGTAGAATTCTATCCAATCCAATAAGCATTAATTAAGCACCTACTATGTGCTAAGCATTGTGCTAGGTGGTGCGTCCAGCGTATAGGGTTTAGGTTTTTTTTTTCTTTCAGAGAGCTAGTTGTTAAACCTTTACCAGCACACCACTGGACACAAAAATAAATGCAATCAAATTTGAGGAGAGACCGAGAACATTAAGCTTAAGGGAGATCCTGCTGGGCTTCCTGGAGGAGGAAGCACAGCCTTGAATTAAGAAAAGGATTCTCAGAGGAAGAGGGAAGAGGGAGGGCTCTCCAGGCATGGAGGACAGAAGAATCATGAATTGGGTCGGCTGCCATGGGCAGCGTGTGCATGAAGGGCAGTGAAGTGAATGAAGCCTGAGACAGGATTCGAAGAGGGCGGAGGGAAACGAGGAGAAAGATAAACTTTCTCATGTGAGGGAAGGGGTGCCAGACCCTGCCTCAGGCGGTCAGCATGAAGGCCCCATGCTCCTCCATGAAAGGACAGAAAGGAGAAGGTTTGCCCTCCTCTCCCTCTTTGATTAGGTCAGAAGGGGACGGCTGTTCTTATTTGTGCCTTTTGTGATCATATCCCATCCATTTTTCCATACAGGGTTTCCCAAAAGCCTAGCTTCCCACTGCTCTAAGATTTTGGGGACACCCTGTATATCTTCTCCTCCACTTTTCCTCCTCATGCAGCCATGCCTTGTAATGAAGATTTAAAAAGAGGGGAGCAGGGAAGCCATCTGGCCAATCCACACACCCACCATGTTGGAACATATTTTTATTTTAAAACTTATTTTACAGGATCACAAAATATTGGAGCTGGGACCAGCCCAGGGTTCTAGATTATCCTTATGGCCTGGACCCTGTGGACAATCTGGTGATGCCCATGGGCCCTTTCTTGGAAGGATGTTTATAAATTTGTAAAATAAAATACACATGATTACAAAGGGGAACCAGTATATTGAATAGAGCTGGTTTAGAATGGATGCTCGCTGAGGGCAGGCGAAGACCATCTTTCTTTTTGCTTGTATTTGTATCCCAAGCAGGCAGTGCCTGGCACATAGTCATCACTCAGTAAATGTTTACTGACCCCCAGCCATAATTTCATAATTTCAATTATGAAAATATTTGTTCTTTTAAAAGCTCACGGACCCCAGCTTAGGAACGCCCGACATTCTAGTCCAGTCCCTTCCTTTTTTACAGACGTGCCCAAGGTCATCGAGTTGTCTCAGCATCACAGTTTCAAAGAGGGCAGGCACCTTGTGGACCATCTCATCCATCCTTCTGGCCCTGCCCTTGTTGTCTGGGCGACCTGGGGAAAGTCATGCTTCCTCTGGAACCTCATCCGAAAAATGAACCAAATAATCCCGAAGGCCCCTTCTCCCTGTAAATCCTATGATCAACTGAAACCCTGTTAAGTCTGGGAAGTAGGAAACTGGAGAGAAGGGATGCGGGGAGGTCAGCAAGAGGTTCATTTGGTGCTACTACCAAAAGCACCACTAGATGTCGCCCGTTGACCAACCCAAGCTCAATCACTTCTATGAGATGTTGAAAGGCAATTATCGGTGAAACGATGCTGACCCCACAGGGAAGTAGATGGGGACGAAATGGGCCAGAGAGAGATACCAGACTTTGGAAATCTCCCCGAGGATGAAGAGGAGGAAAGATCACAAGAGGTAGTATGGGGTAGTGGGGAAAGCCTCCATTCTGGAACCAGACCCTTGAGGTCCATGGTCAGTCAACAAGCATTTACTGTTTTATATTTATTATAATAAGTTCCTACTGCGTACCAGGCACCATTCAGCTCCTCTACCTGTGTGTCTTTGGGCAAGTCCCTCTCCCTCTCTGGGCCTCAGTTTCCTCATCTATAAAATGAAGGGGTTGAACTGGAAGACCTCCAAAGTGCCTTCCAGCCCTAGGTTTGGGACACCCTGATCGTGATGTGCACGATGCACATTTCAGGTGCTCCAACCCCTCCCCCGGGCCTCGGAAGCCTGGTCACGGCATGGAGGTGAACCTGGGTGTCACAGGCAGTGGGGGGGGGATAGAAAGTGCTGAACCTGGAACCAAGAAGACCTGGGTTTGATTTCCACCACAGATACATACAGCAGTGTGATCCAGGGAAAGTCTCTGTGAGCCTCAGTTTACTTATCTGTGTAAGGATGGAGCTGACTGACATTTATTCAGTCAAGACACCCCACTGCCCTTAAAATAAGTGATGAAATGACCAATCAGTCAGAGGCTTTGGACCAAGCCTTTCCAATGAGAGCGGTGCTACGCAAGAATCCTGTCTGTATAAACCAGAGAAACTTGGTTGTGCCCCACGGGCTGTGTATAAATTCTCCAGCTAGTTAAAAGTGGAAGAATTCCAGAGCCTGGAACAAGCGTGACTTTACAGCACACCTCTTGGGGGGAAGGAGAAGCCTCAGCTTTGGTCTGGGCTGGGTCACTCATTCCGGCTTTAGCCAAAGAAGGACTTTGCAAATGACAAAAGGTCCGAGAACATCGTACGTGCCATTGTCCTATGGGTGTCCTCTAGCGGTATCCCTGGATCATCTGACAGCAGTCTGCATTTGAGCCAAAGGCAGACTGAATGAAATCATTCATTACATTTAAGGGGGATTTACTCACCCCACGAATCTGAGAAAAGAACTTCCAGCAACCAGCGGCTGTGAGTTACTCTCTTGTCTCACGTGCTCGCTTTCCCCTGGACTCTCTATGTGCTTGTGGGGGAGACGTTTTGTACCCATTGTTCTTTCTGTTTCTAAAAGTTCCTTAAGGCTGGTTGACATTCTCAACTAATCATCTTTGGGGAGAAGCACACCAGGTGGGGCTCAAGCCAATGACGTTAGAATCACCCTGACACTCCAGAATCCTGGGGAGGGGGAGATGTAGACAAGGTCTAGGCACCCGACTCATCAGTGGGAGCAGAAATTGAAAGAAGGATCCTAAGAGCTTACATGAGCTGTATCCGTAAGACCGGCACAATAACAGCACCTACTTCAATGAGATCTAAATGCACAGTCCCAGGACCGCAGAGGCGGGTGCTGGGTCTATCAGCCTGGCTCAGTGAGGACAGAGGGCCATCACCTCAGGGCTCATAAGGGATCTGGGAAGACCCCGGGTGAGGAAGCTGATGGCCAAAGGGGAAGTCACTGGCCCAGGGTCACCCAGGTACAAGCGCAAGGCTAGAAGTCTAACCTGCACGCTGTAATTCCAAATCCAGAGCCCTGGCATCCTCACTCCACACCCTCTGGCCGCTGAAGGAGTGCCTGTTTTGATTTTAGTAACTCACAAGCACAACCTGGAAGCCCTGGGCAAGCCCTGACGTGATAAGTGGGAGATGCACTCACATCTAAAAACCACAGCTCTTTTGAATCGATCGATCAATAAGCCCTAGTTAAGGACCTACTGTGTGCCAGGCACTGCGCTGGGGACACCAAGGCAGAAATGAAACAGTCCCTGCCCTCCAGGAGCTTTCATTCTAAAAAAGGGGGAGACTGTACCTACATATGTAAGTATAGACAGAACATATATACAAAAGATTACAAGGCAATTTGGGAAGGGAGGGCATGAGCAGCTGGAGGACCCCCCCTCAAAAAAAAAGGCTTCAGGTACAACAAGGCAGCATTGAGCTGTGCATTTATTAAGCACCTACTATGTGCCAGGCACTAAGCATAGAGCTTTACAAATATTATCACATTTGAGCCTCAAAACTGTCCTTGGAAGTAGGTGCTATTATTATCCTCATTTTATAGATGAGGAAACTGAGGCAGAGAGAAATTGAGTAACTTGCTCAGGATCACACACCCCGTAAGTGTCTGAGGCAGATTTGAACTCAGGTCCTCCTGACCCCAGGGCTAGTGCTTTATGCACTGTGCCACCTAGCTGCCCCTAAAAATTCTTAATGCAGTTTTAGAGTATTAGCACTTAAAATGACAATAAGACTTTTTGAGATACCCGGTAGAATGAGTTGGTTGAACACTGGTTAGGAAGGGCTTTAAAAGCCAAACAAAAGAATTTATGTTTGAACCTGGAGGCAATGGGGAGCCATGGGAGTTTAGAAAAGTCACTGAAGGACACAGAGGTATCAAATTCACCTCCTCCAGGAAGCCTCCTTGGCTTCATCCCAACTGATGGGGAACAAGCCTTCCCCTGGATTGATGTGGTCTGTTCATTTTATACTTCCTTTGTTTGTACCTGTTAGCATCCTGTTTTGTGGTCATAATTCTTTCATTCATCAACACGTATTTATTCATTCATTCTAAGCTTTTTCCTTTTTTTCCAGAGGATCTGGGTTCACATCTAGCCTCTGAAAGTTACTAGCTGTGTGACTCTGTAACCTGTCTGTGCCTCAGTTCTGATGCCCTCTTTCTCCTCTTCAGACTCCTTCCCTTTGTGATCTCATCAGGTCCCCTTGGGTTCAAATCCCACTGCTTCATGACCTTGGACAAGTCACCTGTGATGACTCCCCCTTCCCAAGCGGTGATCCCACTTCCCTGTGACTGTCAAGGGCGCCATCATCTACAAAATGAAGGGATTGGGGGCCTCTTCCAGGCCTGAATCTATGATCCACCCCACCCCCAATCACTCTACGGAGCTCCCCAAGAATCAGAGTGGGGTAGGGAGGAGGGAAGGGAAGGCACAGCTCCCCCCTAGCCTGGTGGCTCTTGACACAGATGCCCTGAGAAGCTGGAGGCCCCCAAAACATAGGCTTCTTCTATCACCAGCCACCCACTTGAAACTTCCCTTTTCTGTCCCAGACTTTCTGGAACCCTCATTTCCTTCATTAAAAGGACACAAAGTTATGGTTAAAGTTTCCACTATGAAATTAAGGGAAGAAACAATAAATAAATGAGAAAATCTGGACCAGAAGCATGACTGAGAATCGGAGTCTCTGAGCCGGCAGGATCCTCAGAAGCCACAGCCTCACCCAAAGCCCCCCAGGGACGGAGAGCCCCGCAGGCATCCGGCCCCAGGCAGCCCGTGCCATTTGGGGATCATTCCGAGTGTTAAGCTCTCTCTGACATCAAGCTTACATCGGCAATCGTATTTTTTGTCTTCTCAATGAGGAAGGGAGGGACAGAACATGGGACTGAAAATGAAAATGAAGAAAGGATGGCACAGAACACGTTCCTGAAGCTGGTAATTGGGTCTAATTGGATAGCCAGGCCTGGGTGTTTATGAAGGAGGGGGTGATAAGGGTTTACTGGGTGGACAGAGACACTAGTGGAGAGAGTGACTTGCCCCAGGAGACCCTAGTGAGAGGGTGATCAGAGAGTGACGTGGGAGGGTGGATGCTGAAGAAGTGAGTTGGTGTAAGCAGTAAGTGGGGATGTCTGGGCATAGCCTCACCTGGGGTTGGGATGATTGACCCTGAAGGCAAAGAGAGAGAAAACGAAGGCAGTCCAGAGCCCATCAGAGTTCTGGCTATGGGACATGGGTCCTAGCACCCTCCCCATGGGGGAATGGAACCCCACCTGAGGTCGGAGCCTCCAGGAGGCTCTCCATGAAGGAGAGCAGGCAGAGATGGGAAGAGAAGGAGGCGGACGACGACCCAAAGGGTCAAAGCTGGGGTGTAAGTGGGTCTGGAATCCAGAGGCCCCAACAGCGTCTTCTCCTTCATCCCTATCAAGGAACCCAGCTTTGCAGACTCAGCAGCACACTCAACGCCCACTCTCCCTCACTGTGAGTATCCCATCAGCGGACAAATCCTGTTTCCGTCTCCATGACATAAGAGATAAACACCACTAAAATGACTGGACAGCAACAACAAAAAATATTAATTGACTGATGGCTGGAATTGCCGCACGTGGGACCTCAGGTTATGTTCTCAACTATCACGTTAGGGGTTCGCATCAGGCAACCTCCTTCTAGCCCTAAATCTAGGTTCCCATGATCTAGAGAGAGCTGTCTTTGTGACCCTGAGTAAATACCTGTCTAAGCCTCAGTTTCCCCACCAGTAAAATGTGGGTTTTGAACCTGCGAGGTCTCTTAAGTCCTGGGATTCCAGTGTCCTCCATTCCTTTTAGCTGTGGGCAGCTTTCTGCCAGCACCACTCCGGCCCCTAGCTCCCCACGCCGGGACAGCCACTCCCCACCTGCCGGAGGTATGCTGTTTATCCAGGCGAGCCAGGCCGTGGGCTGCCCTCTCCCTGGAAGGCATGCTCTGCCTCGTTCCACTCTGGACCCACGCCTGATCCCACTTTCTTCCACTCCCTTCACCCCCAAAACGGAAGATCCAGACTGAAGGCAGAAGAGGAACCAAGATGCGGACTTCTGCCCACATGGGGAAGTGAGCACTCAGAACCCCCAATTCCCCCAGTCCTTCCTATTTGCACAAAGGTCTTTCTCAGTTCACTATCCCAGTAACCTTTTTACTCCACCCCCACCCCCATCCAGAGGGAACACAGGGAAGCCAAGAAGGGCAAATGGGAGGATTTGGGAATCAGGAAAGCTCAGTTCCAATCCCGTCATCTCATCTCTCTAGGCCTCAGTTTCCCCCTCTGTAATATGGGGGCGTTGTACTAGGCAGCTTCTGAGATCTGTCCAAGCTCTAAAGAGATGATGTTGGGGTGCCTTCTACCACTCCCCTCCCATCTCTTGTCAGGATGCCTGAAATTCCCCCCTTAGCTCTTCATTCCTCTGAGTTCGACACTGGTCTCTCTAGGTCTGTCTTTCCAGTGCAACTTCTCCCAAGAAAGAAAATACACTCACAGAACCACAGGAATTAAGGCTGAAAGAGATCTGGGTGCAAGAAGCGACTTTTCTCAAGTCCCATAGGGCTAGGATTTGAACCCAGGCTTCCTGGCCCCTTTCATCTCCCAGGATAAATTTCTTTCATACAGCATAATTTTTTTAAAAAGTAGATCACAGAGGAGCAGCTAGGTGGCTCAGTGGATAGAGTATCAGCCCTGGAGTCAGGAAGACCTGAGTTCAAATCGGGCCTCAGACATTTACTAGCTGTGTGACCCTGGGCAAGTCACTTAACCACTGATTGCCTCAAAAAAAAAACCCAAAAACACCACAGATTATATACAAGTCATTCCCCACTTGATAAATGGTCTTTCATCTGTAAAATGGGGATAATAATAGCACCTATCTTCCAGTGTTGTCGCAAGGATCAAATGTAAAGTGCTTTGCAAACCTTAAAGCTCTAAATGTCAATTATGGTTATCGTGTAAAAGGGGTAGCCTGCAATAGCAGATAGAGAGCTGGTCTTGAAACCCGGACCGACGTATGCTTAAGCATGTATTAAGTGCCTCCTATGAATCAGGGCTGTTCTGAGGGCTGGGGACAAAAAAAAAAAGAGGCAAAAGCCAGTCCCTGCCCTCAAAGAGGTCACCATCTAACGGGGGAACCAGAAGCAGCTCCTCCGACACGAAGGTCCAGCCCCAGCCCCATGCTGGATGTGAGACCCTGGACAAGTCTCTTCTCTGACAGGCAGACGGAGGAAGCATGCTCATTCGGGAGCTGCCTGAACCAGAAAACCCAGAGGTGCCGCACCTCTCCATGGTAAGAACCGGCCTGGGGCCTCATTCTCTGTGTGACCTCAGGGACATCACTTTACCACTCTGCGTTCCATCTGTAGACTGAGGGGCCTGTGCTAACAGATGTCTAAGGTCCCTTCCAGAGTCTAGAACGCCACTGTCTCGTGGGCTCTCCACTCTTCCAAACCTCCACTTTCTCCTGCCCTGACCTCTCTCTAAACAACCGTGCCTGGCAAGGAGAGACTTTGACTCTGTCGGATTCCCTGGGGCATGAGGGGAGGGTCTGGAGCTAGAAGGAACTTTAGTGGCCATCCTGTCCAGTACTTTACAGATAAGGAAACTGAGGCCTGGGAAAGGGAAACAACTTGCCCAAAGTCACACTCATAGAAAGTGGCAGAGCCAGATTTTGAATCCAGGGCCTCTCAGTTTGCTATCCATCCCTCTCTCTGCTCCCCCAAGCTCACCCTTGTGACCGGCTTTAGTGAGGTTCAGAGGTGATCCTGTCCGAGGCTTACCATGAAGCCTGACTTCCGCCGGCCCTTAACAAAAGGTATTCTCGGCCTCAGACACTTGACAGTTACTAGCTGTGTGACCCTGGACAAGTCACTTAACCCCAACTGCTTCACCAAAAAAAAGAGTATTCTCATTGATGACAACAGCCAGGCACTTACCCCTGTCGGCTGTTTCTTGGTGTCGAGAAGGTGGACATTGAAGCTGGCAGCCAGACTCGGAGTGGCCAGGACATCCCGGAGAGAGATTCGAGCTTCTCCCAGGAACCTGGGAGGAGACAGAGAGACAGGGAAGGTGGGAGGAGGGACCCACGGGAAGGTAAACTGATGACCCGGACCTCCCCCTCAGGAAGCTGCTGCACTCCCCAGTAGGACTCTTCCCCCAGGAAGCCCCCGTCCCTCACCACTGCCTAATGAAGACCCAACAAAATGCGGTGAGCCAGGCGCCACGCTAGTCATTGGCTAAACAATGAAATCTTGCTGCCCTCGAGAAGCTTCCATTCTACGCGCACAGATAAGGAGGGACATGATGTAGGGACTGGTCCTGCGATGATGACGCACGAGGAAAACCAAGAGAGAATCTGGGAGAACCCTGGCGGCCCACGGGCTGTGGAAGTCTCCCCAAGGATATGCTCGACTTCTTGACCTCAGGTAACATGTCCAATAATGTCCCCCAGGCAGACACGGGGATGAATCAGTTCATTAATGAGAAAATAAAAAAGAAATTCTAAGGGATCCTTTCAGCTGGGAAAAAGGAAGTTGGGGAATGGAAAACACCAAACCGCCTCCGGAAAGGAGGACAAAATGATTTCTCATGTTTTCTTAGCTGGGTCCCAGCCATGGGTCTGTGAGCCCCTAATCCTGGACACTGGCTGGCTAAACCCCAATCCAGACTAGAGTATAGCCTGACCTCCAACCCCTGCCACAAGAGGACTCACTCATCTGACTTCTGAGTCTGGCTAGAGGAGTCCCCAACCCCAATCTGAGACTGGCTACTAACCCTGGCCACTAACAGGTTACTAATCCCTGATAGGAGATGGCCTCTAGCCCTCAACATAGACACTGACCCACCTCACAGCTGATCTCTCACCTTGGCCACAGGGTGACCACTGCCCCAACCAAGGACTTAGCCCTGAATCCCGCTACAGAATGGTCATTGACCCAACACAAAGCTGCCCCCTAATTCCCACTGCAGATCCAGTGAAAAACAAGGGCAGAGATGATTGAAGAGGTGGAGAGAAAAGAGGAGAGATGTGGGCATTGATCGAAGGACCAAGGGTTACTTTGGGGGACTTAAATGGGAGACGACTTCAGTCTGATATGACGGCTATCTTCAAACACGTGAAGGAGTATGATGGTGAAGAGGGACCATAGTTGTCCTTTGGAATTCCAGGGGACTTGCCTTGGGCTCTGGAGGCTGGAGAGATTTCAGTGCAACATACACAGGACCTTTCCATAGCAACGAAAACTTCCATCAGTATGACTGGTTACTAAGTCCCTTCCCATGGCTGCCTCACTTGAGCCGCTCCCTGGGGACGCAGGGCTTGTTTAGCATCCGCCACACAAAAGAAGAGGGAGCTGGAGCCCGAAGATGGCAGAGGAAGCGCTTCCATCATCACCGAGAAGAGCAGCGCCCCCACAAACAGGGGTCTGTGATTCGTGATCGCCCTGGGTGAATGACGGAGTCTCAGGACGGGAAGATGCCTCAGCAGGCACCTTGTCCATCCGGAATTTTCTCCACAAAATACTGGTCAAGTGACATTGACCTCTTGGCTGCTTCTTGGACGAGACGCTCCATTTCCAGACTCCGGCATTCTCTCTAGGGGTCTCCCATGTTGGGAACACTCTTCTTCCTCATCCCTGCCTCCTGGCTCCCTTGGCTTCCTTCCAATCCCGGCTTACCTTCCATCTCTAGATCTATGATTCTATGAGCTTGCAGTCCCCTAAGATCCCCAGATCTTTTTCAGGCAAATTTGTACCTATGAAATAGGCCTTTAAAATCGGGCTTGGGCTCCTGCCTTTCTTCCTTTTAGTTCACCTGCCCAGGCTCACCATCTTCCATTCTCTCTGACCGTGAAGGAAAAATCTAAACCAAAGATGCAGAAGGAATTTCCCAGGATCCTGCTTCCTAAGACAATCATGCACATGTAATCAGTGGCAGGGCTGGGATCTGAATTCAAATCTTCTGTCCCCGAACCTTATCATCTTTCCACTAGATCTCAGTGCCTCTAACAAATAGAGCTGTCCAAAAGAAAACAGAATAGAATCTTGAAACTAAAAGGGACCTTAATAATAATGATAATACTAGTCTCAACTACAATAACAGCTCACATTTACACAGCAATTAAAGGCTGGCTATGTGCTTAACAAACATTATCTCATCTGGTCCTCACAACCCAGTGAGGCAAGTGGTATTATTAGCATCCCCATTTCACAGATGATGAAAGTGAGTCTCAGAGAAGTTAAGTAATAGACTATCTAGTCTGCCCCACCCCTAGAAAATAGATTAAGCTGCCTCTTTAGGTAGTGAGTTCTCTGTCACGATGTGTGCAATATCTGCTATAGTTCCAGACAAAAGACCTGGACTAAAAGACTTGGAAACTATCCCAGAAACTTGACTGACCTGGGGGAGGGGAGTAGACGTCAAGGCTTTGACTAAACTTCCCAGTCCCCCAAAGCGTGAGCAAGCCAGCCTATTTGTTGGTGTCCTTCTAGATCACTAGCTTAGATCCCCCACTGCCCTTGGTATCCTCACCACAACCTTCTGAGTCAACACATCTTTCAACCAACCCATCAATCAACCAACAAGGATCTTTTAAGCACCTGGTTTGGGCCAGGTACTGTGCTAGGTGCAGTCATGATGACATGCAATGACAATGACCATGGCGCCCTCCCAAGCTAATACATAATTACTATTTGTGTATGTAAGCACATGCATGTGTCTATGTGTACATATAAATATACGAAGTTATTAAATTAATATTTACGCTTTGTCTCCCTTATTAGAACTTAAGGTCATCATCAACAGGGATCGTTTCATTCTTTGTACTTATATCTTTAGCACTTACAACAGCACCTGGCACATAGTAGGTGCTTAATAAATATTTGTTGATTGATTGAAATCTGAAGAATGAAACCATTCTGGCCTGTAAGGTGCTTACACCATAATGGAGGAAACAAAAGCATGTATAAAAATGTATACAGCAGAAATGTAACGTGAATAAATGACAAGGGATTACAAAAAAGTTAGATCCAAGGGAGTTGGGAGGAAGGACACAAGCAGTCGGGGAGATCAGGAAAGACTTCATGCAGAAGATGTTGCCCAAGTTTCACCTTAAAGGAAGAAAGGGACTCGGAAGTAAAAGTGAGGAAAGAGGGCATTCTAGGAATGTGGGACAACCCGTGCAAAGGCTCAGAGGTGGAAAATGGAGCATCAGTTCTGTTGGAGCATGGAGTTCAGGAGAGCGAACACCCTCTAATGAAGGTAGAAGGATAATAGGTGCTTGTCACAGGGACTATCAGTGAACCTGAAAAAGTGCTAACAGAGTACCCTTTCCATGTTTAACATTAATAATAATAATAATAATTGTCACTGTTGTTGAATTTTCAGTCATCTGTGACTGTGAATCCTTTTGGGGTTTTCTTGGCAGAGATACCGGAGCGGTTCAAAATTTCCTTCTCCAGCTCATTTTACAGATGAGGAAACTGAGGCAAACAGGGCTAAGTGACTTACCCAGGGTCACACAGCTAGTGTCTGCGGCCAGATTTGAACTCAGGGAGATGAGTCTTCCCGATTCCGGGCCCACTGCTCTGTGCACTATGGCACCACCTAGCTGCCTTCGCTAACAACCATAATAACAGCTAACATTTATTACTATGTGCCAGGCACTGCGCTAAGGGCTTTACAAATGTTATTTCATTTGATCCACCCAGGCAAATAAATGCTGTATTATCCTCATTTTGCAGATGAGGAAACTGAGGCAAACAGGGAATGCGTGACTTGCCCAGAGTCGCACAGCTAGTGAGTGAGTGAGACTGAGTTTGAATCGAGATCCGCGCGTGGCACTCTGTCCTCCACGTGCCCACTAGCTGTTAAATATTGGATGGTCTATAAATGTCTTACATCATTGTAGCCCCAAGCCTGAAGTACTGAACCAGCCTGATTTGGGGCTGGTACAGCACTTCTTAAACTGTGGGTCACGACCCCAACGGGAGTAGAGAAAAATTTGGCACAGTGAAAGGTTTCTGAATGCGCAACGACCAAAAATTAATTCAAAATCAAACGCATAACGAATCCGAGGAGTTTCTGGGGGGCGCGTGCCCGCGTTGCATCCTGGGACTTCACTGCGGCCTTGATTCTGAACACAAAGCAGCAGACCCCGGCAGCAGCAGACCCCACTCCAGCGGCCTCACTAGCTGGGTCACATTCCCTCTCTGAACCTGAGGCTCCCCACTGGTAAAACACAAGGGCGGAACTCAAGGCTGCTTCATGTTTTCTGTGTCCTGGACCCCTTGGGCAGCCCCTTCTTAGAGTAATGTTTTTAAACGCATAAATTATAAAGGAAATCAATAATATTGATAGACAGTTATGAAAACAAGTTTTAAAAAGTTCATTGATCCCAGGCTTAAAACCCTGACGGAGACGGTCTCTTTGGCTCTTTGCATCTTCATCACTCTCGGGTCCTGGGGGACAACTGGCCAGGGCCAGAACTTGGAGGAGGGAAATTTGTCTCAAGATCTCACCGACAAGTGGAAGGAACCTCTCAGAGACCTTCCATTCCAATTCACACCTGAACAATAATCCTTTTGTCACATCTTGACAAAATCCCAGACAAGGAGTCAGCCGGGCTTTGCCTCCGAATGAGGGGGAACCCACCATTTGGAACAGCCCATTCCCCTTTCACACAGCTGCTAGGAAGTTTCTCCTGATGTCAGACTGAACTCTGACACTCTGTAGCATTCTCCCCCTGCAAAAATAGCTAGGCGGTACAGTGTATAGAGCACTGCACTCGGAGCCGAGAAGACCTGAGTTCAAATCCCTCCTCAGCCATTTACTAACTGCTCTCAGCCTCTGTTCCCCATTTGTAAAATGGGAATAATGGTAACGCCTGACTTCCAGGTTTGTAAAAATCAAACAAAATGACACTTGTAAAGTGCTTTGGGAACTTGAAAGTGCCATATAAATGTTAATAGCTATTATCACCATTACTGTTGTTATTATTATTATTATTATTACTTTTAGGTCGGATCCTCAAGACAGCTTTCCTCTGCTGCCTCAGCTTCTGACAGGGCTTCCCTTGACTCAGAATAAGAGAACCATATACTCGCCAAGCTAAGAGATCTCTGCAGAGCCTTATACCTGAACAAGGATGCCTTCAACTACGTCCCAACTAATCCGGCTGCTTCCTAAGGCCCTCTAATGGGAAGGAGTCACTACCCCCTGAGCCAGCCCATACCACTGTAGGACAGCTCTAACCACTGGGGGTGTCACCCCCATCAAGCCTAAAGCCATCTCTTCCCGACCTCACAGAATCTTTGGGTTGGACAGTAAGGCTCAATGGCCTTCTGGAATCCCTTCTCCAAGTCCCTCTCAAGTGGCCCTCCAGTCTCTGCTTGAAGACCTTCCTGCTCACTCCTAGTTTCTGCTGGAAAGGCAATCCTTGCTACTGGGGAGACTGAGGCTGGTGGATTGCTTTAACTCAGGAGTTCTGAGCTGTAAGGACACTAAAGTCAGCTGGGTGTCTTCACTGTCCCTCACCAACATGGTGAGTCCCCAGGAGCAAGGGATTACCAGACTGTTTAAGGAGGGGTCCCAGGTGAGAAAAAAAACTGAGCAGCCGCTCAATAAGCATTTATTAAACACCTATGAGGTGCTGTGCTAAGTGCTGGGACATGGAAAAAAGAGGAGAAAAAAGCCAACCCAGGTCTACTCTCAAGGAGCTCACAGTCTAAAGGGGCAGACAAGAAACAAATATGTAAAAACAAGTTATAGACTCCTCCTGTCTATGTAGGAGATAGTTAACAGGGATAATAGTGAATAATAATATTAAAAGTCAATAGGAGATAATTAACAGAGGGAAGGCACTAGAATTGAGCACCTGGAGAAGGCTTCCTGTAGACAGTGGGATCTAAGTTCTTGTGCCCATCAGAGGAGAGCCTGGGGCCATGAGTGACCACTGCCCTTCCATTCCAGGCAAGAGAGAGATCAAGTCTCCAAAACAAGGCATCATATCAGCTCCTAAGGACGTGCTCAGGACCCGTGCCATTTTGTCACCCAATGAGGGGTTTAGAACAGAATGGTTTGAATAGGCTGGCCCCTTATTAACTGGAAAGGAGAGGTGTCCCAGTGCTGCAGTCAAAATGAGTCTGGAGTTGGAGAGCCTGGGTTCGAGGCTGTGCCTCAGTTTCCTCCCCTGTTGTTGCTGCTGCTGTTGAGGGGGTTGGAGCCGATGGCCTCTAAAGCCTATTCCAGATGCTATGATCTCATGAATTGAGGGAAAACTTCCTAACCTTAGAGCTGCCCAGCAATGGAAGGAGCTGCTTCGGGAGGAATTTTCAGCAAAGCCTGGATGCCTGGATAACCGTCGAGGCACTTCCAGCTCTAAATCTGTGACAGGCAGCTGCCTTCCTGGCCCTGGAAGTCTTGCTTTAAGGGAAAACCAGCCAACACTGAGCATCACTCAAAGGGATCACGGTGGGCTGCTGCAGGGGGCTGCATCAGCTCCCCTGAGGAGCAGCAGCCTTGTGGGGATGGGCAGAGGGGATTCTAGTACAGTACAGACCAGGCTAAGCAGCTGCTGAGGCCCCATCCAGCCCAGAGACCCTGGGACTTCTGTGTGCAAGAGGAGAATTCCAGGAAGAAGTGGAGGGGTGGGGGGGGGCACAATGGCCGGAAGCTTGGAAAGGAAGCAGCCGTCATTGTAGCAGCGTAAACCCCAGCCAGTCATCCCTGACAGCCAACTTGGGCCAACGCAGGGATATCTCCAGAGCAAGGAGAGGGGCCTGAGCTGGCCCCCAGGGGTAGCGTCATATTGACTAATGGCTATTTCCTCCCATTTGTTGAGATCCTTTTTCCCAACTAAGCACAATTCCCCAGAAGACACATTGTATAACCAACTGTCTTGCCGGAGCCATGCCCCTTTCCCGGAGCCTCTCGGCTTCCTGTTCTGAGGACTGGGCATCCATCACTAGCCCTGATTAGGGTCAGTCTATGGCCTTCCTCTTCCTCTTGCTCCTGCATTCCTTGGGAACCTTTGAAAAAGGAGGGAGCAAGATTTCTGGAAGAGACAAAGCCCCAGGGACCAGGGCTGTCACTCAGAGAACAAAAATTAGATGGTCAACAGCTCTGATTAAGCACTTACTTACTGAGCAGCCGTCTTCTCCCCGCCAACTCCACCCAAGTCCTAAGCACCTCAACTCCTTCAGGAGATCTTTTATGGGTGAACTCGAGGCCCATCTTCTGTGATGAGCTACCCTATACTCAACTAGTTAGACTGCTCCGTCAGTCAGTAAATAAATATTAAGTGCCTACTGTGTGCCAAGTCCTGGAGAGTCAAAGAAAGGGAAAACACGGCCTCTGCTCTCAAAGACCTCACAGTGTAATAGTGGAGCTACAGACAGGAGGTAACCAAGAGAGAGAAGGCAGAAGGCGGGATTTCAGCCGGAGGGACAGCCAGGACGCAGAGATGAGGAGGATGAGTTGTCCAGGCACGAGGCAGACCGGAGAAATGTGGGGAGCCTGAGGTGGAGGGACGGCCAGGAGGCCAGGGTCACAGGACTGCAGTGTGTGGAGAAGAGAGGAATTCAGGCGTAGCGCAGGGCAGCTTGGGAAGTATCCTATTGGCCGAGCAGACGATTTTATGTTTGATCTCGGAGAGGATAAGGAGCCACGGGGATTTCTCGACTGGGAGAAAGGATAACACACTCAGATTTGTGCTTTAGGAAGAATTAATTAGTTAATTAATTTAGGAAGATTAAGGGGCCAAGTGGAGGACGGACCCGAGGGGGAGAGGCTAGCTAGGAGACAAATCAGCTGGTTATTGCTCTGGTCCAGGCGTGAGGTGATGAGGGATCTGTCACACGAGGGGATGATGGGACACCAAGGCGGTGGCAGTGTCAGAAGAGAGGAGGGAGCGTGTGGGGGAGAGGTCAGTCAACACACACTCACAAAGCTCTATGTTCCAGATGTACAGTCATTCCCTTCACCCATTCTGGACGAACACGTCCTGTGTGGTAGAACCCACTGCCTTGGGGATATCTGGAGCAGCTCCAGGGCACAGCCATCCAAGGAGGACCTTCCTGGGGAGGGAGGAGGAAAGGCAGGAGGGAGAGGAAGTGCCTCGCTCTTTCAAACCCGTTTAACCAGCGCTCATCAAGCACCTACTACAGAATATGCCAGGCCCTACAATAGATGGTGGGGATAAGAAGACAAGGAGATGGCCCCTGCCTTAGGACTGACATTCTACTGAGGAAGATCATAGGGTCTTCAATCTACAGCAGGAAGAGACCTCAGAGGCGGCCAGCCCAACCCACTCATTGGACTGAGAAGGAAACTGAGGCCAAGGGCAGTTCACTTGACAGAGGCCACACAGCACTAATGGACAATACCCACCAAATAAATACCATGTTATTGGGATTGGGGGGAGTGAGGAAAAGCCTCATTTTACATATTGTCCTTCCCATTTGAATGTTAGTTGCTTAAGGGCAGGCAGTATTACTTTTCTTTTTTATCTTTGTATCCCCAGGAGGACCTGAGTTCAAATCCGACCTCAGGCACTTACTAGTTGTGTGACCCTGGGCAAGTCACATCACTCTGTTGGCCTCAGTTTCCTCATGTGTCAAATGAGCTGGAGAAGGAAATCGCAAACTGCTCCAGTGTCTTTGCCAAGAAAACCCCAAATGAAGCCACAAAAAGTTGGACACGATTGAAATGACTGAACAACCAATCCCCAGTGCCTGGTACATAGTAAGAGCTTAATAGATGTTCAGGGACTGAATGACTGACCCGCGTAGGAGGCGGCATTTGGGCAGAGCTGGAGGAGGGAAGAAGAGAGAACATTCCTGGCACAGCAGAGGGCCCGAGACAGAATGGCCAAGGTGGAGAACAGCTGAGACCCCCGTTGTACATGAGGGGAGTGATGCAGAATCAGCCTGGAATGACAGGCTCCACATCTCGCTCACATCTCATACAGACAGAGCGGGTGCGCCTTGTCCTGTGGGGCCAACTTGCCCATTTACACGGAGCTCAAGAAAATTCAATCAACCTTTATTAAGTGTCTGATACGTGCCAGGCTTCCCCTCTTCCCCTCGGCCTCAGACCCTCCTGAAGAGGGCAGTAAGACGAGGGGGTCTTAAAGGAAGAGAAAGATGCTGCTGAGAGATTAAATTATAACAGCTAGCATTTATGGAGATTCGCAAAGTTTTCACTTGTGTTCTCATCTGAACTGAACTGAAACTAGCGTTTCTTATCCCTATGTTATAGATGAGGAAACTGAGGCTGAGAGAGAAAATGACTTGTCCATGTCCACACAGCTAGTAAGCCTCCAAGGGAGGATTCGAACTCAGCTCTTCCTGACTCCAAGCCAGCACTCTGCCCACTACACCACCTGGTGATGTCCATTGTGAACCACAAATGCATAGGGTGTTGGAGCTCTAGAGGACCTTAGAGACGGCTACGGTAATTAGAAGGCAGTGCGGTACGGTGACTAGAGCACTGGACTTGTAAGGAGGAAGGCCCAGGGTGAAACCCCACATCAGACACTTACTCACTCCGTGACACGGAGGAAGTTGTTATCTCACCTCCCTGAGCCTCAGTTTCCCCATCTGTAAAATGAGAAGATTGGAGTTGATGTGCTCTATGATCTGATCTAATGCCCCCAAACTGCTTGGCACGCTGTAGATGCTTAATAAATGTTTGTCGATTGGTTGGTTTTACAGGTGGGAAAACTGGCCCAAAGAAATGAGTTGTGAAGATCGCACACTCAGGAAGACAAGAGGCAGGACACTTCTCCCGTCTCTCCCCATGGGAGATCGCTGGGCAGGGAACCGAAGGATGGCAGAATGCAGAACGTGAGGCGCCCTCGGGATCAGCTTGTTTTTGCAAAGAATGAAACACAGCAGAATCAGAATTCGAACCCAGGCCCTCTGGATCCCAACGAGGGCTCTCTCCATCACACCCCACTGCGCCTGGCCTCTTCCCCCACACAGGAAAGAGAAGAAGAAACAAAAGCCTCGGGCAGCTTTCTCACACCCCGAGAATGCCGAGCAGCTCTCTTGGCTCTAGAGACGCTGGAATGTGAGGAGGAAGGAAGGGAGGAGGAGGGCATGGCTATCTCTGGGCCGACAGGAGCAGGGCTGAGTGTGGGAGGGGAGGGCGGAGCCTTGGCCAGGGAGCAAATGACCGCACTGAGTGGACTACGAGGTAACGTTTCTTCCCCAGAAAATAAAGACGGGCCCAAATCCCCCTGGGCAGGAGTGGAGGTAGATCCGGAGAGAAGGCCTCCTCGGGAAGCATTTGGAGGCTGTGGGATTCGGTGCACTCCCGAGTCAGGGGGCCTGGGTTCAAATCCAGATCTCCTGGGGAGTCTCCTACGAGCTACTTAGCGTCCCTGGGACACAACTTCCCTGCAAAACGAGGGCGTTGGGGCTCGTGACCTCTGAGGTCCTTCTGACTCTCAATCTATCATAGAAGAGGAAATCTGAAAATTTCATTTCTAAATCTCCCCAGATTCATGGAGCTATAGCTGGAAGGGAACTTGGAGCCCAGCAAGCCCGACCGCCCATTATATAGATGAGAAAACTGACAGATTAAGGGGGCAGAATCTGAACCCAGGTCTTCCTAATTCATACTTGTTATCCCAAGATGCCTCTTCATATCATTTCTTTTTTCTCTCTCTTCATGTCGTTTCAAGCAGAAAACTACAACATCATAGGCGACAAAGTCTTCCATCTGGATGTAAGGATCACTCCCCCTCCAGAATGCCCATTCCACCCACCATCAACGCTCAAAACACAGACTCAAGCCTCACGTTCCTCCATCAGGACCGAGGAGAAGAAGGAACAAATGGGTCGATGCTACCTTAGAATCCCAGCTTTGCCACTGGGCAACTGTAGGACAAGTAATTTCCCCTCTCTGGACCAACATAAAACGGGAGGTTGGAACAGATGACCTCTGAGACAGCTTCTGGCTCTGACTTTCTCTGAATCTGTTCTTTAATTTCTCTTTCAAGTGATAACCCCACTGGGCAGTCCACAAGCCCTGCCTCCCTCTTAGCATTGCAGACCATCTTAAACCTGGGGAAAAGGGAGGAAAGGGACAAAAGAGGGCGGGAGGCAGATACATAATACCAGTAGGTGAGCTCTCCCCTCCAGATTCCAATCCCTCTCAGACAACCAGGAGATCAGATCTAGGAAGCTGCCTGAGTCAATCGTCAATCAACATTAATTATGCGCTTACTGTATTTCAGGCACTGTGCTTAGCACCAGAGATACAAATACAAAAGTGAGACATTTCTCTCCCTCAAAGAGTTTACACTCTACTGGAGGACATAAGGATTAAGTGGCTAAGCTAGGGTCTGTTTTTAAAGATCTTGAGAACACCCATTTGGGGGGGGGGGTCTTGCTCTACCAATGCAGGTTGGGACCCTCTATGACCCAGTTGGTGAGTCAGGACCTGAACCCAGATCCCCCTGATTCCCAGGCCAACTCTCGATAAAGTGCTTCTCAGCAGGCTAGGATGATAACAGCACACCTAAGTACTACGGTCAAAATTTGGCAAAGCTCTTCTCTCATGACAACCTTGATACAGAAAACCATATAATGGAGAGCCCAGCCCTTAGGAGCTCATATACGGTTATCAGCCTGGTAGGAGCTCCCTTATGAATTTCAAAGCTTAGGTATATGTGACTGTTTCATGTCCAGTTCTCAGTTGGTGAAAAAAATAAGCCCCATCGATTGGCTGCTGAGACACAATGACTCCCACTGTGGGGAACCTAATCTCTTTCCCTGGTTGAGCTCCAGTGAGGAAGCAATAACCAATGTAAGCCTCTGAGGGGAGAGAGAGACACACACAGAAAGAAAGAGGGAAAGACAGACAGACAGAGACAGAAAGACAGACACAGAGCTAGAGAGGGCCAGCAGCCTACTTGCCCCACCTAGGTCAACAGGAAGCCATGACTAATTTGGAAATTGTTTTGCTGAAGTAAAAAACAATTGATAAATATATTTGGAATGGTTAAAAAAAAAAAACATTTGAAGTCATGAATGTGTTGCTCTGCTGTGGCTTCTGTCCCTGCCGTATCGGTTCTATCTTGCTCTTAGATAAAGAGATGTTGACAACAGCTGTGATTTTGTGAACTTTAAAAAAGTTCCAAGTCCATGAGAAAGTTTGCCAGCAGCTGAGCCTGATGAAGGGCCAGCAATCTGCTTGATCAAGAGTAAGACACACTGTAATGTAAAAAATGAAATGGTCAGTCACATGAAAAAAAATGCTCTAAGTCACTATTGATTAGAGAAATGCAAATTAAAACAACTCTGAGGTACTACCTCACACCTATCAGATTGGCTAATACATCAGAAAATGAAAATGATAAATGTTGGAGAAGATGTGGGAAAATTGGGACACTAATGCATTGTTGGTGGAGTTGTGAACTGCTCCAACCATTCTGGAGAGCAATTTGGAACTGTGCCCAAAGGGCTATAAAACTGTACATACCCTTTGATGCAGCAATACTACTAATGGGTCTGTATCCCAGAGAGATAAGAAAGAAAAAGAAAAAGAAAAAGAACCTATTTGCATAAAAATATTTATAGCTGGTCTTTTGTGGTGGCTAAGAATTGGAAATTAAGGGGATACTCATCAATTGGGGAATGCTTGAACAAGATGTGGTATATGATTACAATTGTGGAGAAGAGAAGAGGGGAGAGAAAAGGAGGGGAGGGGAGACCAAGATAGAACCTTGGGGTACATCCATAATTAAGTGCTGAAATATAGATGATGAGGTCAGAACCAGATTGCAAAGGATTAAGGAGTGAGCAAGAGAAGAAAAAGTGGACGCAGGGAGAGAAAGTATCAAAAGCCTTTTCTAGCAGTTTTAGTCCAGAAAAGAGAGAAGTAGGACTAAAGCTTAAGGGGATGATAATGTCAAGTGGGGAGGGGAGGTTAAGAGACCTGGGTTTGTTTGCAGACAGCAAGAAATGAGCCAGTAAATAGGGAGAGAGTGAAGATTGGAGACAGAGAGGATATTTCTAGGGGTAACCCACCTACAGGAGAAAAGAGGGCGTAGAACCAAAGATACGAGGAAAGAGGCCAGGACTGGATGAGAAGGACTGCTTTTTCCTCAGAGGCTGGGGTAAAGCACGCCCCATCAGTCTCCATCATGGGGCACTTAATCCCTATAAAAAGGCTGAAGACCCAGGGTTAGATCCTTGCACTTGCTGCCTTATACTAACTTCATACTGTTCATTTTATGTGAGTGTCTTGTCCCCCAACCAAACTGTAAACTACTTGAAGACATATTAGGTGTATAAAAAAAAGAAAGAAAGCAGTATAAGGTCCAGGGAAGAGAATCTGTGCCAAAGTCTGCCAAGACCCAAGATGGCTATCCATCAACTATGGCAGCCAATGGGGAGCAGGTCATCCATCAATTACACCACCTACAAAAGGGAACTTGAGAGAGTGAATCCACCACCAGTGGGGACATGGGTGGCATGAGGGAAGAGTGTGTCCCCAGTTCAAGGGGATATGTTTATACTTCTGTGTAAACAGAACATATAATTGCAATAGCTTCTATAAACTATAGCACCTAGTCAATATAGCTTGTCAATAAATATTCCTTTGTAAAAGTTAATTAATATTAATTTATTAAATGATACTGGGAGTTAATCATGGCAATTGATATTAGGGAAAACTCACTGGAATTCGGGCTTGAGCCAATAGCAGAAAAAGGTACCTCACTGCCCATCAGGGGTACCTCTAGAATCCTGAGGAGGAGAATAAGGCACCTGTGGGGACCCCACTTGCCACACAAGCAGGAGTTGGGATGAGGACCCACAGAGATTCGAAAGGCTACACTTTCCATGTCCATGTGCCATGAGCTCGAGGTCCTTCTCCACCCTGGGCACCATTCACTGAAATACTCTCCAGATTATTAATGACCCTCAAAAAATGTGATACCAAGAAATGAACACAACACTCCAGATTGTTAACTGCTCTCATTTCTATAGTATTATAGTGCAAAGAACTTTTCCATCCCCACCTGTGAAGTAAGCCATGTATTATTAGACACATTTTATAGGTTAGGAAACCGAGGCTGAGAAGTGAAATAGTTCCCCCAAGGTGGCAGAGGTACTAAGTGTGACCCCATCCCTGTAAGTCTGCAAGTGAATCATTTGTTATTCTTCTGAAGCTAAAGGTTGGGCTACCTCCCAACTCTGAGATTTTGTCATTCTCTAGAGTTGCAAAGAGGCGAGTTTAGGCCTTGACCTCCTAAGAGTTACGGTTCTCCCAAAGTGGAATAGACTGACTCAGGAGGTCACGAGCACCCCCTCATCGAAGGCCTTCAAGATGAAAGAGTTGAGGATGGGAATGAGATGACGAAGGGGGTTCCTATTCCAGTACGGCGTGGACAACCTGCCTTTGAGGTCCCTTCCAACCAGGAGACCGTGATTCAGAGAAAACAGCCAACGATAACTGAAGTGTCAAAGGGCCAGGCTAGAGATAACAGCAGCCGAAGTCATTCCCTTCAGGGAACCAGCCCTGGCTCACTGCCAAAAGCCCATCCTCCAGGCTCAGGCCCATGTGTGACTTTTAAAGGTTTCCTGCTTGGCCGTGAGGTAGGACAGAACCTCAAAAATGTTCAGAACCTCTGGGGTTTCCTGCATTGTATATAGCATCCTCGAATATCCTTGAAAACAAAAATAACACTCAGGCTTCCGAGGATGTTAGAAACAATAAGGCAGAGAGTTGTAAATGCCTCTGGGGTGGGAGGCAGGAGGGGAAGCCACCCACATGTTCCCAAAGGCCGGCCATTGGAGCTGACGTCCTAAAAACAGAGTCCTATATTTCAAAAGTAGAAGCTGCTTTTTCCAGCTTTCAATGACAGCAAACGTCACTGTGTTTTCTTTTCCAGCGCTTTCCAGGTGTATTTCTGTGTGTCTATACATAAATACTGGTTAACTGAAAAATAAAAAAATAAAATAAAATAAAAGACCCTCATTTCCCAGGCACATAAGTTCCAATCATATACAGCATTACTTAATAAACTCCATCGGCTCCCTATTACCTCGAGGATCAAATACAAAATCCTCTGTTTGGCGTTCAAAACCCTTCATAACCTAGTTGCCTCCTACCTTTCCAGTCTCCTTATACCTTACCCCCCACCACACACTCTTCCATCCCATGACACTGGCCTCCTGGCTATCCCACTAACAAGACACATTCTCTCTGCTCCGGGGACTTTCTCTGGCTGCCCCCATGCCTAGAACGCTCTTTCTCCTCAGCTCCTCCTCCTGCTTCCCCAGACATCTTTTAAATTACAACTAAAATCCCATCTCCTAGAGGAAGCTTTTCTCAATCCCTTTTAATTCTAGCACTTTCTCTCTAATAATCAATTTCCTATCTATCTGATGTATAGCTTGTTTGTACAAATTTGTTGGCTGTCTTCCCCATTAGCTTGTAAGCTCCTTGATGATAAGAACTATTTTTTGTCTCTTTTTATATCTCCAGTGCTTAGCACAGTGCCTGGCACACATAATATAATAAATACTTAGTAAGTATTTATCATATGACTATAACAATATGTAATATATCAGTGCAGTACCATCATAAGATTTTGTTGTGCCTCCAAACCCAGATTAGATGGAATACAGAGAAAATCAAGGAGTTTATTAAATTTGAGAGGGGAGGACCTAAAGTAATTGAAATTTTCATTTAACACAAACTCCAAAAAAGTCTAATCTAGCAACAAAACAGATAATAAAAGCAATGCGGACGTGTCAAATGATTCCAAAGAAGAGATGGGCATACTACGACTGGAATTTCAATAAAGTCTTTTCTCAGGCTGACAGCACAAATCCAACTAGTAGATCAACTATACCAAAACAGAGGAATTTTTAAAGGCTAGCACTTGCTATAACCCTCATGAATGACTGCACCTGCACACAACAGGACACGTGTGTTGCCATAGTAAGGAACTAGGAGGAAAGATGATACAGAAGCAGCTTGAAAAAGCATTTGAAGACCAAGAAAAAAGCACCCTGAGAAGCCTTTAATCAATAATTGAAAGTGAAAGCCAAAAGGTTAAAATTAGATAGGGAGTCAAATATATGGCAGGAACAAAACTGACAGTTCGACATCAAGCAAAAACTATATTATGGATCAGAGGTGTCCAAAATATGACCTGTGGGCCACATACAGCCCACAACACTCCCTAATAAAGTCTGAATCAGATTAAAATGTAATTCTTATCTGACTTTAATGTCCTAATCTATTACTTTTAACATATATACATAATATATGTATTATATATGTGTGTGTGTACATGTATATATATTCTATATATTATATATACATGTATTATACACATGCACAGACACGCAAACATATGGTTTTCTAAGTCAGTATGTGGCCCGAAGGAATCTTTATGTAGGCTGAGTGATCCCCCTTTCTATCTGAGTTTGGCACCATTGAAAAGCAAAGAAAAGACAGGAAAAAGAGAGAACTCCTAAAAAAGGAACACGTGGAAATTTCTTGGTAATCCATATGGTTACAACAAGTCCAACACAGTAACATCGAAGGTGGGCTCACACTTGGGACAGGAACCAACTGAGCCCCTATCATAATGAATGACAGAATGGTTCTATCAAGGGACGTAGCACAAACTCTAGCTTCTGCACAAAACTGTAAGGTATCAGGACCAGAGAAGATTCATAACGATGGGTTCAAATACATCAAGATGGCACATGAATTACTAAGAAAAGCTTCCTCCCAGACTCAAGACTGATCCAATGTTTCTTAACAAAACACATTACGAAAAGTGAGCAAACCAATGACGCCTGGAAATATGGGCCAGGAACCCACCTAACAGGGATGAACGGAATAGACCGTTTAGGTCACCCCTCCACTGGCCACTTGACTCATTCTCTCACTCTCTGTTTGTCCTCCCAAGTCCTGGAGTCATCTGTGAATATGTTTGGTTAATTTATTTCTCACTCGTAAAATTGTAATCACTTTCTCATTAATGATGAGGGACTTTACATCATCACTTCCCACCTAGCTGTTCTCTGTTTTTCATGATCCCAGAAATTCATCATTCTGCAAGATGAAATCACCCCTGAAACTCACACCTCCTAAGATCCCTGCCCCTGGGGCCCCTCCCTTCTTATTGGAGGTGGGGGGGGAGCAGACATTGGAGAGCTCCTCCCACGTCCACCACCATTTCTGAAGGGTAGTCAGGGCATTCACTTCATCATTTCCCACCCCGCTGATCACTTGAAT